TGCGTTCTCGATGTCAAACTCGAAGGATTTAGTTATACTTCAGGGTCTATCTCTGTTACATTTCTGGGATGAGAGAGTAATCTTTCCGGATAAAATATCAGAAAGAATTAGCTGCGGAAAACCGCGGTTATAGTTTTAGTAATTACTTTTGTTTCCCTAAACGTAAATTAGGTTTTGTCCAAAGGTTTATTTAGACATAAAATTTCCTTTCGTTTCTTTTTGTTTTTTTGTTTCCTTTTGTAATATGGACATAATCAACAGACTTCTACTAAGTTTTGATCCTAAGTTTGCTAACAAATATGAGACCCGTACCAAGAAAGAAATCTAAAGAATTTTTAAAGGAAACATTGGATATCACTGACCCCACATCCAGAAGAGGAGATATTTCAATAGATGAAAATGATGTTGATTCTGAGGATGAAATACGCTCATTGGATGAAGAAATTTGGAGTTTGTCCAGTTGAATACTTATTGATGTGCAATATTATGCTTTCTTAATTATTAAAATATTTTTACATATATATTTGCACTTTATTTCATGAAAAACTTATACGAAATCTTTTTGATGATCATATATATATATATATATATAATTAGTAGCACGTTTTAAACCAAAATTCGTCAAAAAATAATTTTGGCCAACTTTTTGGTACAAACAATCTCACTGTGCGACGTTTCGTTGTTGTCGACGCAATATTCGCGTCTTCCACGTTTCGCCGAATGTTCGACCTTCACCTTGCTTTATCCTTCAAGGATCTACGTAATCAAGACAGCACGTTGCGTTCGTCGTAGAAGAACGGAACAGTCGCAAACATATCGCGGAACAACAATATATTAGCGATAATAACGGGACGACTTAATCGATCTAATCGCCGGCCTCGGATAATCACGAAATCACACCAATTAGCGGCGTAGGTCCGCGCGTGCTTATTAATTCGCCGTCATGGCTTTTAATTACGATAACTCGCGACGTTTGGCGCTCGCGTGAGAATGAATGAATAGATAACGACTATAATGACAGAAATAATTTCGTATGCCGAAGCGCGTCGAAATGAAGTCGTTCGCCATCGGGCGCCTCCGTTGCGTAAGGAACGGCAAGCAGGAAAGTTGTATTCCTTGCATTATCGAGCGTAATGACCGAGTCTCGCATAAGCGTTCGCATCGCGCGCAAAGGAAACCGCTCGCCGAGGGAGGATCACAGGAAGGAAGGAAGGATAAAGCGCGACACGATAAGTCGTATCGTCATGATGGATCGCGTTTCGCTACGTGTCTCTCGTTGCGCAATTCGAGTATAATAACGGGACGAACACGACGAACGACGTAGCGTGTAACGTCGCGTAATTGCTCTTTGAATATTACTTGAGAAACGTCGCGCGAGTTCTCCGTCCTCGACTCCGCGATCTGGAGACAACTTCAGCAACTTTCCCGAGATCTCGATCGAGCGAGGTGTTACTTCAAGCATGTAAGTCCCGCCAAAACGAGATAATACTCTCTCTCTCTCTCTCTCCCTCTCTCTCTCTCTCTCTCTCTCTCTCTCTCTCTCTCTCTCTCTCTCTCTCTCTCTCTCTCTTCACTGGGAGAAGCCTCGAGAGTACTTCGTGCTTCCCGGATGGAGAAACTTGGAGCGAGACGACAATTGCGAGAGTAAACACCACGACGAAAGAACGTAGCACTCTTATCACGGAATGTCATATAATTCCACATGTAATAAAGTGGAAAATCTCGCGAGTTGGCGATAATATTTACAACGAGCGGCACATGCGCGATTGCGCGCGATACTATCCTCATTTATCGGTAGCGGCCTGTTCTAATAGATTTATCGCGCTCGATTTCGTATTCATGTATGCGCGGAAAAAGCGATGCTCGCCGATACCGGTTTGCCAATAACGCGAGCGCGTCAAGTCGCTTGTCAATCAAGATTGATAGACGATCGGATAATAATCGGATAAGTGTGTGTCATTAAGTTGAGCACTACCAGCGTGTGTCCTCACCGACGGTCATCTCAGGGTCGCGCCATGTCGCCGATGAACCTATCGGCGATCGGTGATGACACGGTGTCATCAATATGATCATACTCACACACGATGAATAAAAACTGATGAAAACAGTCGAGTGATTCATTTCGAGTGCGTTCGGCCATCGAGATTCCCCTCCAAGCGCCTTTCCGCGTTCGGAAGCGCCGTTAAACTTCGCCGGGCACGTTGAACGGTCTCATCAAACGCGATGACAAGCTGCGAACTCACCTGCCGTATGCGGCGGAGCGCGCCGACTAAAAAGTGCGCGCATCTATGTGCGAGCGCAGTCTCGGCGGAAACTTTCGCCGACAGTCAGTCGAGCGTCCAGAGAAGTCGTTAACTTTATCGGACGATGTTTCTTCGGGCCGAGAATCGACGTGGAAGCCTGTCGCATTTACAGCCGATCGAAATCGATCTGGCTGATGAAAGACTGGAAAGCGCGCGCGTAATGCGTTGCGAAATATCATCTATATGTCGACACGTAGAGCGACAAAATTACTGACAGGGTGTGTAAAAATCCGAAGAAATGAACTTCCCTCAGCGCGAAAAGCGACTGTGTATGTGAATAACATTATTGCCGTAATTTTGCGCATAGTTGCTCGTCGCTGTACGCCAGAGCCTTAAGGTTTTCAACATTTATATGCTAATGTCGCTTATCTTAATGACGTTATAATTGAGTGTAATTGACTTGTCTTGTTTTTTTTCTGTACACGAGTCACGCAATAACAACGACGAGCATCGTCATCATCCTTGGCCATCACTCGGCCAATGTTCGATTGTGCAGCTCCAAATTCAACTCGGTCACACACGACGAAAACGAGAATATTTTACGATAATTTATTCGGTGATACGATTGCATTAAAATTCACGAAGAGAGTATGTTGCGATAGTCAAGGATACGCAAATAGCGTCACACTGGATGTTAACAAATTGCAAAAACCTTATGCAAAGCAGCCGGCGTAATTGTTATTACACGGGCTATTAATTAGAACATTATCAGAGCGTTCGATCGCACATTAACTGTGCAAATTAATGCGAATGATCGAGTGAAGAAATCAAGTCTGCGTCAAACCAGGTGTTGGAGGTTGAGGATTGCAAATTTCAGAAATGAGACAATTCGCCGAGTCGATTTCTCCGATTTCGCGTCGTTTTGTCTCGATCGATGTGATGATCCCAATCTTCAGCCGGCAATCCTGAATCTTCAGTACCAGTACCAACGATCATGTAACTTCTCCTTAGAAGCGGAGACGTGAAAAGTTTTCCACGTTTAAAAAGTTACGTGATCGCCTAACGTTCTCGAGTTCACGCGTAAAACTTTCCACGTTTCCGCTCTTAGAAGAAAGTTGGACGATCGCTGCTCCGCAGGTCGATCTTGCATTTTTCCTCTGGCTGGTAAGCTCGCGGAAAGCAAAAATGTTCTAACTCGAAAGCTTTCACCTGCACCACGGTTTCGTTCCAAAGAGCAATGACGTGATCTGTTATGGGCGTAAGGAATAAGAACGGCAAGAACGAATGAGGCCAACTCGCGATTGAACTCGCGGCGAGTCGTTTGCGTGTGGCGAGGCGACTCGTTGTATTCGTGTGCGAGTACGAGTTACATTACGTAAGACAGCCTTGACAATGACCGCTGCTGTGTGGGTTACGTTGGCGTACGGACACGGTGTGTTGTTAACGCGCCGACAGGATAATCGGCAAGATTAACGCTCATAAAGATCGTAAAAAGTGAGGAGTGCGAAAATAAAGGACAACCGGCGTCTCTTTTTACTCCTTTCGCCTCCCACCGAGAGATCCATCGCGACTTGGTCATTTTCGCGAAGGCAACGCGAAGACTCCAGAAATCCACCATTTGCCTTTGCATTATCGCAAGGTCCTGCGAGATACAGGCGAGATTTTGGCGATTTAAACGAGCGGCGTGTAATTCCGAAATAAAATATTCGCAACGCACTTTGCATTCCGCTATCGGAGGACCGTGTCGTGTATAACGACGGTGACGCAATGGCACGTATAGTTAGACGTTACGATCGCCGGGCTGAGATCGAAAGGACTTGGCGGTACGATTGTATGTTTGTGTGGCAGGGACCATGTCACAAAAATAATATGGGAAATAAAGGGAAGCGGAAATATCCAATATATTCGCCAGACAGTTGACATAATAACGATTGCCAAAGAGAGAGAGAGAGAGAGAGAGAGGGGGGAGGGGTGAGAGAGAGAGAGAGAGAGAGAGAGAGAGAGAGAGAGAGAAGTAGGAAAATAAGAGGACCACTTGTCACGGAGCCGCATTGAAAAAGTCACTGACTCTTTCATTAAGGCGACAAGATCCTCGATCGATAAGGTGCTCAACCGACAAAAATTATCCAAACGCATTTTTGGCAGCACACTCAATTCAGTGTCATTTGGTCGTAAAAAAAAGAGTAAATAAGATAACAAAGATCAGGAGTTTGAACATTTTTCACGTTTCAAGCACGGGAAAATATATATTTTACGTCGGTAATTGCCGGTGAGAGTTTGAGAAAAAAATACACATGCTCTTCCATAACTCGTAAGCTGAATTTTAGCGATTCTATGAATTTCAGTTTCGATCAGGATGAATATTGAATATTGATTAGTCCGGTGATGTTCGTTTCATAAGTTCCGATTACGAGGAACAAAATCCGGATCCAAAAGGGAAGTCATTGGTAGTCGCGGTTAACCGTAAATTGGCGTCGAAGAAACCGCTGTGGGAAACGATTTGAATATTATTTCTGCTCGTATACAGGAATGCCTCTTCGCAGAGGCACTGTGCCGACGATCTCATATATTAATCAACATACATGTATGCTTGTGACGAATCCTGCTTAGCACGATGATAACAGATTTCACACGATCCTTAAATTTACCGATGCTTTCTGCACGATGCATTTTATCGCGAAAAGACCGATTAAAAGCGACGGTAGCAGTAAAATGCTACTGCTTGTATGGGTGAAATATATATCGTAATATGTCATATATTGGTTAGAAGCATTTTATCAACTCTTTATTCCATTAGCTATATACATGTATAATGCGATATATATATATATATATATATATATTAGCTGAAATTTCATGCTGTGGTTCACTCAGCAACGTAAATTAATAGAATTCTAAAATGTACATTATGATCTACACCTGATATTCATACCTTTATCTCGGTACTTTGAAAACAAAAAAAGATTCTTACAAAGTAAATAAATCCACTCTAAAACTTCTAATCACGCTCTTCCAATTCATCCATTATCTCTTTGTATCTGTACAGATACTTAGAGCCATAGTACTCTTGGAAATAAGGACCTCTATAATCACGACGAGTACCCATCACGTCATTTACCCGATTTTCAAGAAGTCGAATTTGTCTGATTTGGTTTTCTTGATACGCATAGTGCAAAAACTTCTCGTATTCTTGCTGCGGCGATGGGAAAAAGTAGCGTGCAAGGAATCTCTTGATCGGATGCTGAAACAAGAAAATCACATTTGCTTTAATTATCATTGCTGCTAATTACTATTTAATTATTATTGCTAATTTGCGAAAACCTTCAGACTATATTGACAAGAAAAAACAGTCACTATTGACTCAAACATCTTACCCGATGGTACTCCCATTCTTTAGGTACATAATCCTCCGGAATTTCTTCAAGTGTTGCAGGTCCAATGAACACATTAACCATAAAAATTCCGATACCAAGAGGAATAAGTCCCAGCAAGAAGTAGAAATGGAACCAATCTTTCGTTTTGTGCCACTGAAACCTAGACGGCTTTATGACCATTACACGCTGCTCTGACATGCATCTTGCCGATTCTAAGGATGTAAAATATATATAGATTTATCTTATAAATATTGGATCCCTCTCTTACTCTACTGTGCACAGGACACATGAAATTGTGTATGCCTGTACAAAACATTGTAAGGCAGTTGCGTAACAGAACACTATCGAATCCTGATAACATATTAATAGAACAGTGTTCGTCTAACGATGAAATTCAATAAAGCCACATGTATAATCACCGTTTTTCACTAATGCTGTTCTAAAGCCGCCGTTTTGTAAGAACTTTTGACCAGTTGCACGTAAAATACTACTCCACACCACCATTTTGCCTCGATATAAGAGAACCTGGAGAGAACGTAAGAGAACGTGTTTCGAAACTCGAGAACCGATTGGGAATGTAGCATACCTTACTTACCGACTTTAGCAAAAGCAGATTACACACAATTAATTGTGCAATATGTGGTTGGATGACAGCACTTATGATTGCATCTAGGAAACATAACATGTCGATAACATAATATCCGCGGTACAATTAATTTATGCAGGAATAATAAATAAATATAATATGTATGTGTGTGTATAAATAAATCAATAAACAAACAAATATATATATATATAATAAACAATATAATCGATATAATAAATGTTATCGGTTATTATAACATCAAACTAGTAAATTAAAACTTAGTAATGTATTAATTGCAAACAATGTAATAAATCAATTAATACAAAACACAATACCAATAAATATACAAAAATAAATAACGCTGTACTTCTCTCATTCAATTTTTTGCTTTTCTTCTTTATTTTTTACCACATGGTTTCCTCAAATATCGTCGGGAGAGAAATAATTTTTTTTAGTCTTGTACGATAAAACGTCGTTGGGGCGTCCATTAAGTCAGAAATTGTTTTGCTTCAACACATTAATCTTGACGTGATCCGTTGCAACAACGATCCGTGAGGCACCAATGAAGACCGGGTTAAGTGAACAATTGAACTCGAGAAATGATTGTAAATTATGAGCGCCCAGTCGATCCTCGTGACAGGATCTGAGAAAATTCCGGAATAGCGTCACCGATCACGTCTCACGCGTCTCAGGCGATTTCATCCATGCACTTTGTTCTCATAAGGAGCACCTTAACTCCTTCGACGAATGACAAAACGACGGATATTATGACGAGAATTGGTTGTAAACAATTTAATAAATCAATAAATTCAAAACACCAGTAAACATATAAATATATAAAAGCAAATACTGCTGTTTATTTCTTTCATTCAGCAAAATATTTTTGCTTTTCTCTTCATTACACGATTTCTTTGAGTAGCGTCGGGAGAGAAATAATTTTTTTTACTCTTGTACGATAAAGCGTCGTTGACGTCCATTAAGTTGAATAATTAATAATTGATTCTTCTCGTCCGTTGTCATGACGATCGGTAACACGATGAATGAACAAGAGAACGCTTTTTAAATATTGCCGAGCGAATAGGAAAAATTCCTTAAATACCGGACGCTAATGATATGGTGTGCGGTAAATTCTTGAATGTATCGTTTCGCATATTGCGCACGGTAACACGACGCAAGGCATGATGTCATGAATTACGATCAAAGTTGCGGTCGCCATTACGCGCCGATAGTAGAAGTCTCTGCGGCATATCGCATGAAAGATCCTTCGTGCGAAACCGCCAGGCGAAACTAAAGTCTCGCGAAATAAAACACGCAATGTCATTTATCTCGTGTGTAAAAAGAAAAAAGGTGAATCGCGTGAGATTAATTAAATGTTATATTCTTATATAATACATCGAGCCCCTTAAAATCAATTAACGCGTCACTATCACCGTTCACACATACAGCGTATAATTGATTACACGGAACAGCCGGCCCCATCTGATTCAGTAGAAATCTACGTTTTCTTTCCCTGCATTTTTTATTTACTCCTCAAAGTCTGAAGTGTCAGTTTAAAGATAACGGCGCAATGGGTAGTGGTAGCAAATACTTGAGCATGCTCCCCCACTTAATAGCGAAGCCAATGTGTTTGAATGTGAGTCATCGACGATTCTAATCGATCGATACACATGATAACGTAGCACGATGCGTAGCTTTGTGACGTGTTGGTAAATCTGTGATTATCAAAATAAGAGATTGGGAAATTATTTCTTGTAATTAGAAAAATTGGGAAATTATCTTGCAATCTTGCTCGTTGCTTCGAGGGTGGCGAAATTGATTAATTTCGATGACAAAGTTACTACAAAGAGACACACTTCTTCATTCCTTTGTCTTGAATTTTTCCACTATTTATACGTCCTATCGATATATGCAATTAGCCACATTAGTCGTTTAAATTAAATTTTGTCAGAATCACGTCCGCAAATTTTATTTACGAAGACAGGCTGAATACCGAGTGACTCCACACCGCACACACACGAGGAAGATTAAAATTTACAGGATTTCAGCAGACAAAGCGATAGCGCCGAAGTGGATTACAGCTCCCGTTCCGCGGATGTCCCGCTATCTTCCACGGCAATAACCGTTCAAGAAATCACGTACGAGCAGAACGAGCTGATTTCGAATACAATTGCATCGCACGTAATACGTGTCTTCCTTCCTCATGACGTATTTTCGTAATATTTTCAGACACCAATAAAACACGAACTTGAATGTCGTCGTGCAAATATTGACAGAAAGAAGAGAGAGACAGAACTATTATGAATCACCATGAATATAAACTACCTGTTAAGTGGACGAATATAAGTTTGACCCTCTTGTTCTCTTAATCTTTCGATAAAGAAAACAAATATCAAGGTTTCGTGACGTGACGGTATGTCCGTGACGATTCTGAGATCACCATAGAAATCATCTACCTAACGTTTCACTGCTCTTTTTAAACTTTGGGCTATCTTTATCGTCTACTTGACGTGATGTAATTTTATTTTCGCCAAATAAATCACGTCGGATAACGTAAGTGGTTAAGCAGTTTTCACGGTCGTCCATCTCCATATATTGTATATATTCTAACCGAAAGCAAAATATGTATCTCCGTGCTTCTTGTTCCTCCCACAGCCGCGCAAAATTCACGCTGGCGGAATGACGCGTGTCAGCGCGAATCGAGCCGCACGATCGCGGGTGAATCGATGAGTGCAGAGCGCGTGGCGCGACGTTTGCGTGAAGAGCAAGTGTTAAAGCAACCCTTAAAATCGACCACATTGGACTAGTGTGTAACACACATAGCGATTACACACACGGTGAGGCCAGGTCGGACGTAGAAGGAGAAGAAGGCGACGAGGTTTTCGAGCTCTTTCTCTCTCTCTCTCTCTCTCGGCCAGTCGTCTACCGATCGCGGCGCCGAGCAGAGCGACCACGTCGACGAGAGCTGAGCCGGCCGGTCGATCGTGCGAGTCGCGTCGCGTCGCCTCGCGTCACGTTGATCGCGTACCCTCTTCTCGTCCACGAGAGAAGAGAGAGAGAGAGAGAGAGAGAGAGAGAGAGAGAGAGAGAGAGAGAGAGAGCTTTCTCTCTCCAGTCTGCTCCATTCCACCTTGGCCTGGCTTGGTCTGGCCTTCGCGGTCGCTTCACTTCCGGCTTCGCTCTCGTGCCTTGCCCTTCGTGAACACTCGCGCGACGCCCAACGAGATCGATTCGCGGAGCGAGACAGGAGGCCTGAAAACGTAAGTGCTTTTCCAATCATATTAAATCGGGCCGAGGCTTTATATATATATATATATATGAGAGTGCACGGATTACACCTTAGAACACTTCACAAGGCTGCGAACGACGCGTTTGTAAGTGATCATTCCTTTGTCTCGAGTTATTCGCCGGAAACTAGACGAATCATTTTCACTTGTCTTCGCTCTTGTTATTTATTGTCTCTTTACCGAAAGAGAAGGGCTTCTCGCTCGTGACGCGATCTCGGCTTGAAAAACCGTCCGTCTTGGACGGTGGTGACTGAATTTCACTGATTTGTCCGGCTGACACACGCCTCCGTGCTTTCCGCACCTCGGGACCTACTTTGTACTCGATTTGGCGAAGGGGAGAGGAAAGAAACACAGTGCAAGCAAGCGAGCGCTGAAGAGACGGCACACGTACTGCTGGCTTATTTACCGTCAGTCTCCCTCTCGAGGGAAACGACAACGAGACGCGCGTCGTCGGTCTCGGGGCGTTGATCGCGTCGAATCGATCGATCCTTCTGCGCTCTTGTAAACACGGGGAGTGTGTAGAGCGGAGAGCGAGTCGCCAGGATGTCGGCCAGCGACTCGGTCTTTGAACCCGCGAACTATCTAACGCTTTTCCGGGTTAGGGGTTTCTAAGCTTTGGCCTATCTTCGGGGGTCTGTTCGACGTGATACAATTTTATCTGCTTCCGGGACATACGGCATTCGTGACAAAGCGATGATTATTTCACGGCTGCTTGAAACGATTGCTCGTTACGATGATAATGTAGCAATAGAATATACAATATAAGAGCCTTCGACACACAGATTACCACGAGACGATGTTCCGACCTTCGGTCGGATCTTGATGCTTGATGCTTGAGATTAGTTTGTATTTAAAGTGGAGTTGAGTAAAACGTGATCCATGTGTGTACGTATTCCGCTCGTCTATACTCCCGCATCTTTGTCCACGCTTAATCCAGCCGAATTACTCGACGGTCGTTGGAAAAGCCACCCGGCCCGTCCAATCCTATTGGTGCTTTTAACTCTAAGCTCCATACTCTGAATTCTCCTTCATCACTAAAAGTGACCGTAGAAGTGGCTTGCGACCAATCAGGAGGCTTACAAGGCCACTTTTATAGCCACTTTTAATGATGAAAGAGAGTTCGGAATGTATGAGCTTGAATCTCTCTCTAAAAGTGGACTCATATTTGTCTTGCGCAATATCTGAAAATTTTTTATACGTTATCGCTCTCCAATTCACCTGCCTGTCCTATCGTATTTTCGTCCGTACGGAACTCTAATTTCAATATACGGGAAATACTTGAATGCACGGAGAAAATATCCGTTTGGATCAAACAATTTTCTGATGAGATATATGAGAAATTCCGGTCGAAGTTATCGGAACTCAGTCTATAAAATTATCAAGATTCCCGATTTTATTTCAACAGAATTCGGGTTTTCCCGATCGAGATTTCTGATGTCGTTCATATCTTATCCGAAAACTGATTCATTCAAACAGATATTTTTCTCCGTGTAAAAAAGATGAAATCGCAATCTGCCTGACCTACTTTTCGTTAATCTTTTCAATCCGGATGAACGCGCGGCGAATTTGCAATAACGACGACAACGAACGCTACGAATAGTCAAATTTACTCAGAAGCGAAATAAACCAAGAGAGAGGCGTGTTCTTTCTTAAAATTATCAGCTTAAACCGCACCGGCTTCGATTCGCGGAATCTTGACGCGAGTTCGCGCATCTTATTATTGACAAGCCACGACGAACGTTGTGCAATTTACCTCGTTGTCGCAATAGGTAATTTTTATAACCTTTATGCCGCGACATGACGTTACTGTCTCTCGGTGACATTACGGGTATCTCTAGGATGACTCGGAATCGATTGCGCCAACGTCACTTACGTCGGATTTACACAAAGTCGATAGACAGGTGCGTAATAAGTCATTCGACCTTCGTAACGTTACTCAAGATTTAGAAATAACAGTTTCGAGCACAATAGAGACGCACGAAGAAACGACGTTTGAGAGAGCTCGAGGAAAGTTAATCTGTGATCTCCTTTGTCCTTTCCCGCCGATACAGCGGAATATAGCGCTAATGCTATATTTACGAATTAATTTACGAATTCCGCTTGTATTTCGCGAGACAACGCGGCGAAAAAGGAGGCAAAAAGGACAATATAAAGGAGAGAGAAGGCAAGGAAAGTGGTTTAAAAAATCGTTCCGTGCGGATTAGAAGAAGCTCAGATTAGAATCGCGCAGGAAAGTTGCATTAGCATGCGTACGGCGGCGTATTTATCCCGGGAATTCGCAGAATTTTGCCGTTCTTTTTAATGTCCGAGAAACCGTAATTTGCAACAAGACAAATCGCTCTCTGCAATGGTTACGTTAGCGGCTCGCGGGCGCTCCTTGCACATTTGCACGACGCGCATAAATTTTCCGTACGCAAACGATTCTCCCCCCTCCCTCCCTCTCTCTCTCTCTCTCTCTCTCTCTCTCTGTCTCTCTCTCTCTTTCCATCACGTGCGGCAGAAGAAAACGACACAAAGACACCGTCGGATTACTCTTGTCTCTCGCATCCTCTTCGCTGCGTCAAATCCCATTGGGAACAAAAGTCAGCACGCGTGGGCTTATGTAAGTCCGGTGCCGCGAGAACGACTACTCTACTGAACTCATCAAATGATCGTTAATTACCGCGTGACGAATGTCACGCTTGTGCTTCTGACACAAACGTGACCGTCCCGCTCCATCTTGGCTAATTAAAATATTAAAACGTCGACGAGATATCCGCACGTTAACAACACGTTGCGCGGCGAGACCGACGCGTCTTCTTGATTTGTTCCCGCTCTTTTATACGTCGTTGCAACTCTTCTTTTTCTTTAACTCAATTGAACTTTCGTCATAAAGAGAGGAAGGCTCGATTGTTAATGATCCTCCCCCCCTCTCTCTCACTCTCTCTCACTCTCTCTCACTCTCTCTCTCTCTCTCTCTCTCTCTCTCTCTCTCTCTCTCTCTCTCTCTCTCTCTCTCTCTCTGTCTCTCTCTCTCTCTCTATCTCTCTAGACCAATGATTTTCAAGCGGTGCGCCGCGGCACTCTGGTGAGAGGCCGTGAGAGGATTTAAGATGCGCCGCGAAAATGTTCAAAGATCATTAGTTATATTATTTTCGAAAGAAGTTCAAAGCACGATAAGTATACACGTCAAAAAATTAAAACCTCTTTAAATCTTGATTATACGAATATATCGTTTGTTACGGTAAATAAACACCGGCTTATTTCTAAAGTGGGTGGGGTGTAGCCTGGAAAAATATAAGGTTTCGCGACATGTCTATACACACAGTTAAAAACGTTTCGTACTTTTGTTAAAATTTTTCGTGTGTAGAAAGTTTTCGTGTGTTAAATTTTTTACACAGTCATGTGTTAATTTAACATATCGTTGTTGCGTTACTTAGACCTTATTGCGTTAATTAAATTAAGATTAACTATTCTCAAGTGTTAAAATAACATTTCCAAGTATTGGGTGAGTGCAAAAGTTCGTGCGGAGTTTGTGAGTAAAAGTCACACAGTGATTAGGCAAACAAAAATCTTTATTCAATCAATGATATATTCTCCATCGTTTTCTATAATCTTTTCCCAACGTTCTGGCAGCATACGGATGCCTCGATCATAAAAACTGCGCGGTTTAGATTCGAAGAACGAAGAGACGCCGTTTTTTAAGGCCTCCAAAGAGTCAAAGTTTTTTCCATTTTAATAATTTTGCAATGACCGGAACAAGTGATAGTCAGATGGTGCGATATCAGGAGAATACGGTGGATGCGTTAAGACATCCCATTTCAGGCTCTTCAATTTGCGCAGCGTCTTTTTCGAAACGTGTGGTCTGGCGTTGTCGTGATGAAAGACGACTCCCTTGCGATTTGACAAAATCGGACGTTTCTCTTTTATTTCTCGATTCAGATTGGTTAATTGGCGACAGTACTTGTCCGAATCAATCGTTTCGCCAGCGGGGAGAAGCTCGAAATAGATTATGCCCTTGCAATCCCACCAAACAGAGAGCATCACCTTCATCGGGTGCAAACTGGCCTTTGGCATTGCGTCACCATGCTCACCTGATTGTTTTCATGTCCGTTTGCGCTGAACATTGTTGTAGAGGACCCATTTCTCATCTCCCGTCACTAGTCGATCCAAAAACGACTCGTTATTGAGCCGCCCGAGTAAAGAAACGGCTGCAGAAATTCGCTTGATTTTGTTCTTCTCGGTCAGCAAATGGGGCACCCATATATATCGAGCTTCAAATCGAATCCCATCTTTTTTAAACGCCGAAAAGCGGTTGATCGGTCAACGTTTAGTGCTGTAGCAACTTCTTCTGTTCTGTTGTGAAATTCGCGGATTATTGAGCATTAAAGTACGCAAAACATCGTCATCAATGTCAGAAGGTCGACCAGAGCGTGGCTCGTCTTCAAGGTTAAATTCTCCGCGCCGAAATTTAGCAAACCATTTTTCCACAGTTCGTTTAGCTGGTGCTTCATCCTGATAAACATCCTGACTGTTTTTTATGGCTGCGGCAACGTTTATTCCCTTCCGAAACTCGTAAAGCATAACACGCCGTAAATGCACCTTATCGATACTCATTTTTAAAGTGATATTTCTCGAAGCAGTTTGTATGAAAACAAATGATTTTTTTTTAATAACAGCTGAAGACGTCACCTTTCCAACGTTATATAATATGTAGATGGAAGTATTAATGACAACACTTTACGACGCTTATAACTCCATGTATTGAAACTCCGCACGAACTTTTGCACTCACCCAATATTAAAATAACACAATTTATATGTTAAAGTTAAATGCATGAATTCTTGCTATGACATATTTTATATGTTAAGCAGCTAAAATATGTTACTTTCCTCATTATAACGGTTATCACGTGTTATCATGTTTTTCAAGTATATGTTTTCTGGTATGTAAAGTTTGGATTTTTAACACACAGGTTATGTCAATCTAACATTTTCATTTCATCAAATTGTAGATCATTACTCTTCCCAAATGTTGAAGTAACATTCATTGCATGTCAATTTAACACAAACTGTGATTCTTCACTGCATTCGAGTGTAAAATTTTTGTGTTAATTTTTTACATATTATGCGTGTTACTTTCTAACATATCTGTTGTATATGTATAAATTAACACATAAATGAGAGTGGATGATTTGAGACGCATGAAATATGTTATATTTAACACATCATTTCCTACGGTGTAGGTCCAAGTGTGCCGTGAGATGAGGAAGGTTGAAAAACAGTGCTCTGCGCGCTAAACGACACTCGTGGTCGCCACGAAGGAGAAGTAAGCCACGCGCGGGATGAAAGCCGAGCGTGTGCGTGCACGCGAGTAATTTCGATGAAATCGCCGGTTGCAGCGGACGGACGGACGGGATGGATGGATGGACGAACACGTCAGATTCCTCGGGAACTTCGTAGATCGTTAACGGTCGAAGCCGGAGAAACGAGCCGGCTGAATTGATAGCAGTCGTACGCGTGCAGAAGTCGTTGAAACCCAAGCAATATCGGCTCGCTCACGCGACGTTCGTTTACTCGGCGTCGGTGAAGTCGCGTCGGATAAGTGTGTGGTTGCGAATAGATTCGCGAGAGAGTCGCGAGAAAACGAACGCGGCTAACGCCGCGATCGCGCGAATCGTCCATCACCTCTCTCTCTCTCTCTCTCTCTCTCTCACTACCTTCGGTAATCCTGATGATATTAGCCATCTTGTGACTTTTTTTCCGGGAGCTGAAGCTGAGACGGGGAAAGTGAGAAGTTTCACGTATGTGCGAGCTCGACGGCTTTAGCGATCGTGTAATCGTTTTCGAACAATAAAAACTCTTCACGTTTTAGCGCTTTAGCGTCGTAGCGATAAGCTACCTACGACGCTCGCAGCCTTGCAACGCGATATCCACGATGGCCGTTCTCGCGAGTGCGCGTATTTTCGCAAGAGCAAACTGCGCAGATAAATCGTGCGGCGTTTCGCTTTGTCCCCGGCTTGTTTTCCGGTCGCGCGTCGGCAAAACGCGCGAAGAAATTTCGAGAATAATCGAGCAGGCGAGAGGCGATCGGGGAGAAGCGCGTGAGAGTTTCGCCGGGAAATTGGTGGGAAACGCGCGCAAGGAGAAAAATCGGTTTCGCGTCCGAGACAGAGAAAGTCACACTGTGTTCCGCACGCGGCGTTAACCGCAAAATTGCAGCGCACCGAGTTGACCGAGATATCAGGTAGTTTCATTTCGAATGTCGCGCATAAGACGGACGCGTGGCGACCTGCGTGGTAAACCTGCACCTGCACGCCTGCCGGTCATCACTTGGGAATCTAATCTAATTATCTCGCTCGTGCATTGTGAGAGTGATTTTATATATAAACGATATAAACGATATCGCGTGACGTTATAATCGGGCAATTAATATTGTATGCGTTATGCGTTATGGGCGATTGATTGAACCCCCGATGTGATTCTCAATGAGACATTCCCCCATATGTATTGCATAAAAATTGCATGAAAATAATAATATTGAAAGGACACTCTTACTTTCAGGCTGTAAAATGTTGGCCGGTCGCAAGTGCAACGCCGTGCAGAGTTGACGAAGATACGCATATAGGGAGGGAGGGACGCCTAGTTGATTAGTGCTAATTAAGAAGGAGAGAAAGGAAACACAGGCTTGTCGGACTAACAGTGGTGCGGCCGGCAAACGCGAAGGACAATGGATCCTTATTCACTGAGGTGAGTTACCGAGAAGGCTCGTCGCGGAACATTACGAACGGTCCAGTTAATCGCGACGAGTAACGCGACGTGAAATTCATTTCCGTGCTCTGTTTATTTTCTCGTTGTGCTTTCATTCGTTGTTTCTCCGCATCAATCTTTTCGGAATTGATCGATCTCGTAATTCGTACGAGCCTTTCGAATTATCAAAGCAGAAAAAAGTAAGCGAGACGAGAGCGAACGCGAGTTTCTTTCTTCTGACGAGACCGATTCCGCGCGAGCGGACGTTGCCTTCGGATTTTGATGTAATACACGAGGCAGAGGAGGCAAGATTTTTCGAGAGACGAGCGAGATGGATGCTGTCGATCCAGTGGCCAACGAGCGTCATTCATCCGCCGATCAATCCGCCCACTTGAAGGCGATTTATCCAAGTCCTCCGACAGGTTTTGTCGGACTTTTTTTTATCCACGCCCTCTACCGAGACGATCCTTTCACGCTCGATCACTCGTGAACGGTGCGGAACAAACGGAGGGGATCTCGAATTTCTGTCCCGTACCCCTCTGATTCTTTCTTCAGGCAAGATACTCCCCCAACAGCAGATATATCCTGCTGAGGTACATCTGCCGGATTATCTCCCGAATAAATCTTTCCCATGCGTTCGCTCAGAAAAATGCAAGGTTAAGAGAACTCCTCTCGGAAAGTCCCTGAGAACAATTCCTCGAGGCCGCTCAGAATTTCTGAACCCCACTCTGACGTGTACGTATTATATATTCAATCGCCAGTGCGGGGAAATAATTTCCGGTTTATAATCATGTCATTGGCATAGCAAAGAGTACGTGAAGGAACGCGTACAGGCAGATTCTACAGGTCCGCTTCTCTGACGAAGAAACATTTCACTTACCGAAAGAAGCAGTTCCGTCGGCATGAAGTCCAAGTGCTTCGATTTGGCAACGGACGAAGACGCGGCGCCGTCGAATCACGAGCCATCTGAGCTGGCACGTCCCATCTCCCTCGCGACCGCACCCTGAAACAGTCGCGCGAAGTCGTGTTGTTATTACAGAGTTACTGTAAAATCGCCGGAGGCAAAAGGGAGTATCGTCCCCTAAAGCTAAAAGCGTACGTTCCCGGAATTGCCGGTTCTACGAGACGAAGGTTCGTGATAAATAACTCTAAAGTAACGCGTATCTCGTGTATAATTTGCGCGTATTTGCGCGTTCTCGCGACCACATCTATCTCATTATTCGCACGTCAATATTGAATCGGGCGCGTCAACGTAGCGGATAATAGCTTCCTCCAATTATCGGCAAAAAATTGGTGAGGTCGCAACCTCGATACCTCATAAAAGCGGCTTGAGACAAATGAGCGATTGATCGCGCGATCGTTCGCCAATCTTCGACCTTGATTTATCCACGCATTGATTTATGCACGCATGACGTCTCTCTGTCTGACGAATTATCCCTCGGGCGGCGTAATGATTTACACGCGAAAATTCGCACAGACATCTCTTTCTCCCTCTCCCTCTCTCTCTCTCTCTCTCTCTCTCTCTCTCTCTCTCTCTCTCTCTCCCCCTCTCTCTCTCTCTCTCTCTCTCTCTCTCTCTCTCTCTCTCTCTCTCTCTCTGTCTCTGTCTCTGTCTCGTCCAAACACACCCACGAATCACTCGTGCGCTCATTTGCTCAATTTTGCTTATGAAAATACGAGTAACCGCCGATTTTACGACGATTGGTCCTGACACGCGCAAAAAATAGGCGAAGAACGACTCGTTGCCGCGAATCATTCCGAAATCGCCGGCTTCGTCGTCGCCGGATCGTTTCGCGTAAAGAGCACGCTGCTTGAAACTCGGTGATGTAAGTTCCGCCGAGTCATTGTTGCGCGGAAAATAACCGCTCGAGATAGAAGGAAGTTGCGTCGGCTAACGAAGAGTCCTCGTGCGCGATTTCCCCGCGAAGAACCGGCGCAATCTCGCAGTTTCGATCGACGCGATAGAAAAAAAAAAAAGAAAAAGAAAAACTAGTACGGATAGCAATAATAAGCAAAAGTTTGGAGCACCTTTGATGATTCCAACGATAAAAGAATCAAATCTATTGTAACTACTTGTATCTAATACTCTGACGCTACGAATCGAATCGAAGGGAGAGCAAAAATATGGTTTTATCGCGGAATCGGCACAGGATGCTCCAGACTCTTGAGCGATATTCTATTCTTCTTCGCCCATTCATCTATTTCCCATGTACCGTGTACTTGTAACTTGTGCTTGTACTTCCGAGAGCGACTTCGGAGCTTTTACGCACACCGAAGAGGTACCCGATCGAAAAATACAAATAAACCGAGGATAATAGCGAAGACCTCTCTCAGTGTATCGCTGCTCGCTATCAAACGTACGTACAGCCAGAGTATTACGCTTTGTTGAATCAGGGCCAAGGTTAACCATGCCTGGTATGCTCACGGCAACACAAGTCACGCGGTTACTTTTGGCGACGCAAAAGCTTAGAACGCGAAATCGCGAAAAAAGCCTCTCGAGGCGGCAGAGGCGATTCACGAAGGGATTCGCGCGCGACGTCGAAGATCAACCGGTGATCATCACAACACATCACCCGCTAGAAAGTTGGACGGTCACGAGCGCCGTAATTAGTCCCGCGAGTGGCTGTATCTTGGCTGCACGCCGAGGACTCGGGTGTAACGATCGGTTGCGGGCGGAGGAAAGACGGCGGCGAAATCCGTCGGCTGTCGATCACATGAAATGTCAAACACTCCTCTCTCGGCTTATTATTTACTCGCTCGCCGCGGATTGTCGCGGCCGGATTATGGAGGCCGAGACACGAGGTCGAGGTGAAATTAACACGAGCGCGTACAGGTAGCCTCGCGCATGTTGTCGTCTTCTCGTGATAACGGATATTCGTTTTCTTCTAAGCTGTCGTTCTAAACGAGGTAATTCGGTGATTGGTCCGCTTATGCGCTCAGAGAGCACTCAGCCTCTCAGGCTTCGTTTCGACTTGGACATTCAGCGATTTCGCCGAAATTGGTAGAATCGGTTTACTTAAAAACGGGTGAAAAAAAGCGATTTCCTTAAAAATCGATCGGAAGACATCGTACGCAATGAGCACGTTTAAACATGTTTCTTTCTTATTTGATGAAGCTGCCGGCACACGGTGCTCGTGTTCGTGCTGGATTTAATGAGACCCCGTGACAACACGCATGATCAGAATGAAAATTTTAAGAGGACTTTTTAATCTCTTGCGCTGGAAATTTATTGACCGGTGCCCGCGTGACGAACCCGTCACCGAAACAATTGGAAGCGAGCTGTTACTTGTAATTGTTTCTGTACGAATCTTAAACAGATTGCGTGTAAAAAATGCATACAGTCACACCATTTAGATCAATATAGACAGGATTAATAGTGTATTAACCTTTTAGCTGCGGCGATTTCAACTGAGAATCGCTCGCTGTGTACGACGTGATATTCGCTTGTCGCGTCACCGACCCAGGTGAATAATTCATATGCTTCATATAAAGCGTTAAATACATCATATAATAAATAAATAAAATATACCAAATGTATATATATAATAATGAACACTAAGATAATAAATAAAATATACAAGCTACACATATATGTTTGTAGCGCTTAAAAGGTTAAGGATTTTTATTAATTTTATCAACTTTGTGCAGTAGGATAAACTTCAAAATAATGCGGAATGTGTAATACAATGAGATACATTTGGTAAACAAACAACAAGCATGTCGCGTCATTCCAGCGCAAGAAGTTAAAGAAATTTTTTTAGATATCTTGAAAATGATGTCCAAATGATATCTAACAATCGTCATTTTTCAGAGGTATCTACTAAGAGACCTCTCGGAGATATTTCATTTCATCGTGAGAGATTTTTTGAAAAATGTTATCTCTGCGATATCATTCATTCTAAATGATATCTGATGCCTCATGAAAAAATCATAATGTCGTTTAACATTCCTGAGCCATTCAGATACGCACGAATTCTATATGTTGACATGTCTTGCATATTTTAAAAATATCCAATTTGAGAAATCCTTTAGACGTCGTGATTTCGTTTCTTATTCATAATATCTCTGCCCTCAGAAAATGGCGCGTTACATAACATTTAGGTATCTTTATGTTATCTTTTTGAAGTTTTCCCAAGTTATCAGAAATGAGATATCTTTTAGAAACCTTTCTGACACATTGTTATCTGACACATTGTATCTATAAATAACCTATATAAATCTAGATATAAATAAGAAGAACATGCAATTAGAACTTAGGCTGAGTAATTAAAATTCTAAGTGGTTAGATTCTAGTTATTGCTACATAATGATTTTACCGTCAGTTTTATCTTCTCGCAGAATATGCAAAAATAAAGCAATATCCTGATTGTATCAAATTTTGATCCCAGTGTGAATTCTTCATTAAACGAAACAACATTGATGAATAAGCATAGCAACTGGTTAAAGATCGATTCTCTGTTGATAGAATTGATTTGTACAAAAAAATTGATTTGTACAAAAATCGAACAGAAACAGATCGATTTTCTGAAAATTGAGTCGAGATTGCTCATCGCTAACTTGACATCGACGAATTACAAACTGGACGGAATGGTAACGTGAGACATAGCTGTTGAATAACAACACACATCGATCTCCATTGATACCGACTTCATAATTGTAACTTTACGAAGATTAACTGAATCTTTCGACGAAAACAAAGTACTTGCGCTCACTTTGACAAGAATCATGAGGGAATAAATTATTGAATTCTTAATCAGATTTTCGACGACAAAATTCAGGATTTTTCTTCATTCGTGTTGTTTTTTGCATGACGAATGGATGTCCATTGTACTGAGAGAAAAGAAACCTACGAAAATATTACAAGTTCGGGCAGCAAGATGATTTTCGCAAATCGAAAACACGTGCTGTTATCTCGAACAGTTGCAATATGAAGATTGGTCTCTACAAGGCGGAATACAATATTATTATTATCGTTATTTCAGCAAAGCTGTGCTAAGTAAAGCAGGTTAATTAACGCGCGACCCATCCAGAGCATAATATTTTCCTTTGTTTTAGACAACACACTCGAAAACTTGTTATTTTAGAAGCGCGATTCATCGTGATAAACCACAAGCATCACGATGAACGATTCCGATGCAACACGCACGATAATCGAGACGCACAGTATTATCATGCATCGCACGATACAATCGTGCGTGGAGAGTATAGTTTTGACATCACTCGCGTTTAATAAACAAGAGCAGTGTTCGTCCTCACGATAAATCGATCGGACGAACACAAGCGCCTCGGTCCTATTCTTCGAATCGACCGTGGCATTTAATATCATCTTAATAATGCGAGGAGAAAAATATGATGATAATCCGATTCGCAACCAATCGCCAGTAACAACTATTCGTCTCCTGCATTTTTTTACGCCGTGTATGATAATATTTTCCTAGCCATTAGTCCGACCAATTTGCAAAATGCCGTAACATTATCGGTTATTTATTTTTGCATATACGCGCTTATTATCATAGTGGAACTTTCGATTTAGATCAGTATTGATAACGCACGAGGCTACATGAGAAAAGTGCAACATTTAATCAATATTTTGTAAATAAACCAACTTTTCATGGTTTACGCAATATATTCGCGAAATTCTTTATATTCGAAGAAAACTTACAAAAAGCAAGATTCGATAAAACTATGCGCAACCGGATCTGTTTTTAATAGCGTCGTGTTCCTCCCCACACTCCAAACTGCGCACGATGTAATTCATAAATATAAAGTGCTATTTATGAATCATAAATGTGCGGCTCAGTGGCGAGCGCTGTATTTTTCTCGGTTTGTTTAGGAGCCGACGTTTAGAAAAAAAAAGCTTGTTTGGTCAAACGATGATAACGAATGTGCATTGTAGTTTGTCTCCGACGCATCTTATTAATCGAGTATTCATTCAAGCGTCAAGCATTATTAAACTTTTCAGGGACGTATTTATTAAGGTCGAAAGACAATGATTAAATTTTTAAGTGACACAAATACGATCAGACATCAGTCTGCCGATCGTTCGACGAGATTTCTCTCTCTCTCTCTCTCTCTCTCTCTCTCTCTCTCTCTCTCTCTTGTTGGCAGAATCTCGCGATAAATATTTATTTGCATAATAACGTTCGTGATGTCTTCGCCGACGACGTTTAAATTTGGAAGAGAACCAAGTGCATTTTTCCAAGCAGCGACGCGTGCGTGCACTGAGAAAAAATTGTATTAAAATTAAACAAATATTTGTTCGAATATGACTGTGAATACATTTATTCAAATCAAGCAACTAATTTCTAAAATGAAATACAGAGGTTCTCTGAATGCAAACTTTTTTCTTGAATTTTAGAGAATAATTGTTTAATTTAAGTAAATGTATTCACAGTCGTATTCGAACAAATATTTGTTTAATTTTAATATAATTGTTTCTCAGTGTGAGGATTCCTGAAAAGGTTAATTAAGTGAGACATGAGAGTGTATCGTCGTGATGAAAGTGAAACCGTCGCGAAGACGATAATCGAGTTCCGACAAAGTTCATGACAAGCGATTTCCGAGCGCCAGCTCCAATGTACCTCTACGAGGAATGCGCATGTAACATCCGGTTTTAATTACACGAGTATATAAGTATATATATAGGTTTCGTTTTCGGGATCATCATTATCAGTGACGCATTGTGTGTGTGTGTGTGTGTGTGTGTATGTGTGTATGTATGTGTGTGTGTGTTCCGAAGCACGGATCTCGCGTGAGAACCGATTTCATAAATATTTATGAAGTATTTACTATTTGCAGTCGTGCGAGATGGACGACGGACTTTCGCCGATATTCGCTTCGACATGACACGCGAGCGCGCATTGGCCGACGGTCACCGTAAATCGCGCGAGCGTTTCTCGCGGAAAAGAGGCGCGAATTATTGCTCGCAAAAAGTGACAAGTCGAAGGATGAAATTCGCGGCGATACGTTGACCGTCGCGACGCGACGTCAACCGTCGTCCACCTGTTGTTCCCGCACTGGGACTTTATTGACAATCGACGACACACCGGTTTTGTTACAGCGTGGAGCGGGAGGCTTCGAAGAACATCGAGGAGAATGAGCGAGAGTGCTTCAAAGACGCGATCGTCTCGAGCCGGAGCCTCAACAAAGGGTTCGTCGAGCCGACAAACCTTAAAAACGCTATCCGCGAGGTACCAATTACTGTCATTATGCCGCGCGGAATGGCTGCTTGCTTTTATTTTTCACGGCGGTAGCCAGTTTTCCATCGATGCGCCGAGAGTCTCTCCGAGAAACCCCCAAAAAAAAGCGAAGACGAGCAATCCCGAAGGAGATTCCAGGTTCACCTTCCAGGTTCCTCGCTTAAAAATTCAACGAAAGCTGCGACAAGCTCCGCGTTTTTCAATTCTTAAGAGAACACGTGTTCTCGTATTATCTGATGATAATAAATCATCACCCTGCCTGCCATGCCTATTTACACTGATTACTTCAAGGCTCAGCTCAAATTTGAGTCACTCAAAATACTGTAAATAAATGTAACTTGCGAAGATTCATTGGCTGGATATTTAATTCGTTAAACGCGGTCGTTTATGTTTCGCGTGTGAGTTAACGAGATGTGGCGATATTACACTGAGAAAAATTATTAAAATTAAAATTAAACAAATATTTGTTCGAATACGACTGTGAATACATTTATTCAAATTAAGCGACTAATTTCTTTAACATGAAATACAGAGGTTCTCTCTCTCTCTCTGAATGCAAACTTTTTTCTTGAATTTTAGAAAATAATTGCTCAATTTAAATAAACGTATTCACAGTCGTATTCGAACAAGTATTTGTTTAATTTTAATGCAAGTTTTTCTCGGTGTACACCATCGATCGCGCCGGTCATCGTCGTGTTGATACTTGACGGTGAATTTTCACCGCCTCTCGTTCAACCGTATCCTCCTCGCGGAGGAGAGACGACGAGGCGCGTAGCGGAACAACGGGTTTCTCGCGAGGCTTCTTCTCATGTCGATCACGCGGAAGCTGTGTTACATAGCTCGCTTGGACCTTCGCAGATCGCCGCGTGCATCATCGCAGCGTCTTTCCACATAGCGGTGGGTCTCAGCATGGCGTACTCGGCGACTCTCATTCCTCATCTCGAGAAGGAAGACGCGGAGGTGCACGCGACGCAAGAAGAAACTTCTTGGATAGGTGAGATCGCGCGGATGCGTCGCGTACGCGCGCGATGCCGACGAGAGGCGTTTTTCGCGAAGAAGATAGAAACGGCCACGCGGCTATCAATTTACTTCTCTCCGTCTTCTTCGTAATTCTTCGAAGCGCGCAGTCTTCATCAAGAGATCACGACCAATTCTCACGCGCATTCGTGGGTAAACACGTATGGCCGCACGCGTCGCGCGGATGATAGCATTAAGTCGCGCGCAATCATCGACGATACACCGCCGCTCGCTCCCGTCGCTCGCTCCCTAAATTGATTAATTGCAGATGTACGCGAACAGATGTATAACCATTGTGTGTGGCACGAAGAGAGAATCCCGCCGTGCGAGCGGCGCGTGTCGCGGCGCTTGCGACATTCGGATCATTGATTTTCGCGCTCTGATTAGATCCGCGTTGTGCAATCCAATCTGCGCTCGTTTCGTCGCCGTCGCGATCTGCGCGTTGCGCCTGATCACAATTTATTGTGATCGACGATGCTTTTTCCACCGTAATTTAATCGCGGCTTTTGTCGGCGCGGTCGCCGCGCGGCAACGGTAATTCTTTTTACGTTATCGTGCGAGCCACCGCGACGACACGTCGCAGTTTTAATGCGCCCGGAAATTTGAAAAAATCACAAACAGTTGCACGAATGATTTTAAAGCTAATTCATAAACTCTCACGGTTAAATTCTCAAATTTTATACGGTGAAATTTCATTCGGAAAGAACGAAAATTCACTCTCGAGAGGGTAATGAAAAAATATTCCCGACCACCAGTCGGGTTCACAAAAGCGTGAACGTTTCACACGAACCTGAGACGGACTCTTCCATGTACGAGTGAGTGTTCCGTTCGATTATAGCGAATTTGTTCCTGTGAAGATAGCGAAATGTACCACAGACTCGCTCTATAATTGTCGAACGAAGATCTCCGCTCGACAATTCGGAACGGAAAAATCCGCTCTGTGTGGGTGAAGATACTCGACTTTGAGTGTCACTTTATTCCCCCAGTGGAATTTCACCGGAATAAATTTGGGACGCCACGTTCGGGGAGACGCCATTAACCCTATCAACGTACAAACGCTACCAAAAGTGTTCGTGGACTTAATAACGTGATAGTGGAAGCTCGTCGAACGGTAAAAGCGTATTGTTTGCATTGCTACGTTACACCGTCGTTTCCGCACCTTTAAACACCTCTTCAGTTTTAACACTCTGAAGATTGAAGCGAACAGCCTGTAAAACTAAATAGCGCTAATAGCGTCTCCCCGAACGCAGACTTCCTTAGAGAGGAAGACTGAGGGTTTAGCAGAGACAGAGAAATGAGAAAGAGAGATGAAACAAGCAAACAGGTGTGAAACGAGATGATCCCGACTTTCAGCCAGCTTGGTCGTCGTAAGCGCGCCGATCGGCGCTCTCATGGGTGGCTTCCTGATGGAGACGATCGGTCGACTGAGAACTCTGCAGATCGGCTCGATACCCTGCGTGGCGGGCTGGATCCTCATCGCTCTCTCGACGAACGTGCCGATGCTATTGGTTGGTCGTCTTTTAGCCGGACTAGCGACTGCTTTAGCAACTTCACCAGCGATCGTCTACATCACCGAAGTGGCCAGGCCGGAATTACGCGGCTCTTTGATCTCCTTCGGACCGACGCTGGCGTCGTTCGGAATGGTGCTGTCGTACTTGAAAGGCGCTTACCTCGACTGGCGGCTGGTTGCCTGGCTCAGCATCATCTATGCGATTGTACCGGTGATTCTAGTGCAGGTCTGGGTGCCGGAGTCGCCAGTCTGGCTCGTCTCGAAGGGACGCATCGACGATGCCAAGAAGTCTCTGGAATGGTAAATCCGATCTGGTCATTATGGTAGTCGAGACCAAGTGGATAATTGTTGATAATAAGAGAGCCGAGAGCGAGAGGGAATGTCGTCAGTTCTCTCTTGAGGATGAATTTCCAAACGGGAGATAATTAATGAACGCGGTTTTACAATTGAACGCTAGCAGACGGTCGAATGAGACAGAGTAATAAAGACGCAGATAGAAAATCAGCTTCTCACGGAAGATCGCTGATAGGATATTCGTGACGCGATAGAGAGACCTACAGACTCGAGATAAGTTATCGCAATTTTCCAACGCGCATTTCCGAGAAATATCGCGACCTCTCCATTTTTTATAAAGCGCATACACGCGCGCGAATGACTTAGCAGTGACTCTAATGCCCGCAGGCTCTACAAAAATGAGACGTCGCAAGGTAAGATGTCCGTCGCCGAGACGCAATTTACCACCATCATGAAGGAGAACGAAATTAAACTGAGCGAACAGCGACGCAGCAAGCACGGCAACGTGTCCAATAAGCTGCGGGGATTCCTGAAGCCGACCGGATGGAAGCCCATGGCGATACTCTTTCTGCTGTTTTCGTTCCAGCAATTCTCCGGGATTTACATAACGCTATTCTACGCGGTCACCTGGTTCCAGGTAAGGGGGAGGAACTTTCTCATACGAATTTCGCAACATGTCTCTCTCTGATAAATATCGATAACGGTCGAATAAGAAGCAGTTGGCGGTCAATGTTTCGTAACTTCTTTGCGACTGGATCGATCCCTACGTGTGTCCGCGGAGCCTCGACTTTTCAGAGCTAAATCTTTCGCAATCTTCAGGAAGTGGGTGCGGGTGTTGACGAGTACATAGCATCGATTTTGGTGGGTGTGACGCGTTTCCTGTGCTCCATGGTGAACACCTGGTTGCTTAGACGATACAGGAGGCGAGCATTGTGCATCATATCGTCTCTGGGTATGGCGGTGTGCATGACCGTTTCCGGTTACTTCACCCTGAACATCAGGAACGGCGATCGAAGCGGATACTGGGTAGGTGTCGCGGGAATTTTGGAACTTGCTCACAGTGCCGGAGAACAAAAAGTTTCCTTTTCACAAACACAAGAACATCAAACTAAATCGCTATCCCTCCTCCCGTGACACTCGCCAGGTACCAGTGCTGTGTCTGCTGCTCTACGTGTGCACGTCGATGGTGGGAATGCTAACGATCCCGTGGACCATGACAGCGGAACTGTTCCCCAGCGAAATCCGCGGGATCGCCCATTCCATCAGCTACTCCATGGCGAACTTGTTGATGTTCGCCGCGCTGCAGAGTTACCGAAGTTTGCAAACTTTTCTCGGAGGTACGGTATTCGTTACTGTGTTATCCGCTAACTCGCGACCCGCTAGATTATCTCTTTGCTACAGACATAAAAATTTAACGATTCAATGGTTTATCATGGCTCTAGCAAATAATATAAAAATCAGCTAATAAGCCACGAGACAAGTCGCGAGACGGCCCGCGGATTAGCTAGTTTCTACTACGTCATACGCATGTTGAATGTAACAAATTAGTATGTCAGAAAGCGTGTTATCTCCGAGTATGTCCTCGACATTTTAGTTAACTAGACTATTTTTGTCTCTCTTCCTCCCCCTTCCCCCCATCCCCCCTCTTTCTTTCCTCTTTGTTTTTCGCTTTATCTTCCACTTAGCTTTCATTTATTTATACATGAATAGTTATTTCTGCTTTTTTGTCGCTCGGCTTTTATTTTTATCGCTCTTCACATCTAGATGTTTTTGTTCGTTTCTGCGCTACTAAACGGTGTTTACGTCAAAAGAATAAAAGAAAAAAGAATAAAAAAAACACCACGCTCGTATGTTTCCTAACGACGAGTCACGTTTTACGCAGGGTCCTATGCCGTCCAATGGTTCTTCGCCGGTATTTCCGTGGGGGCTGCTATATTCGTGTGGTTGCTGCTACCGGAGACTCACGGGAAGAAGTTGTCGGAGATCGAGGAGTACTTTCACAACAATTTCCTGGCGCTGGGGGCGAAGAAGAAGCGTAAACATCGAAGTGCCGAGAAGCGGGCACAGCAGAAGATGAAATCGCCCGCGACCGAGCCACTTAATCCGAAAATCGTGCAAGATGTTTAGGGACGTCTGCTTCTTTACTTCTCTTTTTTTTTTCTCGTCTGTTTCCTTTTATCCACGGAACCGTGCGTATTTCAAACAAAAGCCAGCTTCGAATGTCTTTCCAAGGAAAACGAGCGCGCGATCAGCCTCGGATCTTACACGGTGATCTTTCGTCACCACACGTATATTCGTGCGAAACACCGATCCTTTGGATATTAATGGCGGAATCAGCGGAGTTCGACGCTCGATGCGAAAATCGCAACTGACGCAACAATCAGCGAGCGAGGAACGATCGGATCGGAGAAGTAATAAATGCACGGCGAGACGCGCGAGATAAAGCTTGAAACTTAGCTCTAATACTCGGCCATGCGCGTAGAAATGGAAGAGGAAGAGCGACATTTTTCCGATGTTTCGTACTGCTCGCAGGACTACGCCGTCAACACTTTAAGATACGCATATAACGTTACGAGTTACGGGAATATTTCGAGAGAGACAAATAGAGAAAAAGAAAAGAGAGAGAGAGAGAGAGAGAGAGAGAGAGAGAGAGAGAGAGAGAGAGAGAGAAGAAGGAAGAAAAAGAGTGTAAGTCGCGCGAAAAGAGAAAGGGAAGTCGATTTGCGACTTGCGGTAAAATATACGTGTATATATTTACATATATATATATATGTGTCCAAATATAGTGCCTGTATTCTCTTCCCTCTTCGTAAGAATCTCGCGCGAGGCTCGTTGTTACAATATTACAGTATTAAGATTCCGATCTGACTGCGCGTACGTCATCGTCGCAATAGAATCGTGACTCGCGTGATTTATGTGATAATAAGAATTATTCTCTCTCATCTTCGAACGACACGACTGTCCCGGTGACTTTTTCGACCGGGCTCTTTGGAAATTTCAGATGAGAGAGAGAGAGAGAGAGAGAGAGAGAGAGAGAGAGAGAGAGAGAGAGAGAGAGAGAAGGGAAGAGAGAAAGAGAGCTTCACAAGCAGGACGCGACTCGTACAAGCACGTGGTGTTTGTCTCACGAGGTGTGTAGATTATACCGAAGCGTCACTTCGAGACTCGGCAGAAACTTCGGAGCAGAACGGCCGATTTGCAGAATGCAGCCTGCCAGGAGACTCGAGCGTTCCTCCGGAATTCGCGAAACCGTGCGGAACCTCGCGCAGACGGCACGCAACGGAGAGGAACTGTTAATTGATTCGTTCGACTTTGATCTCTCGTCTCTATTCGTACGTGGCGTCGTTTATTTAGACAAGAATAGACGCATATGTCCCCACACACACACACACACACACACACACACACACACACACACACACACGCACACACGCACAAACTCGATGAAACCACTTACACAATATAATATTTAATTTAGCGAAACAGAAGCCGCTTTTTAGACGGAGCGAGGAGTGCAGTCGCAATGTCGTCCGCGTAAATCGATATATACAATCGATCGTCACTGCTGTTACATTGTTGATAACGCTTGTTATTATTATTGTAAAGTTTACGGTCGCACGAGCACTGTAAAGTACATAAACTATATATCGATATCTCCCCCTCCTCTTCGGGGGTGAAGAACAGCGGCTATAATGTCAGATCTTTTTTCACTCACGTGCGAATAATTAAATATACGATCGATGTTTAATTACAGTAGACAGTCATAACGATGAGACAGAAATAACGATGAGATAGCTCCATGCGACATCGCTCGCGGATCACTCCGTCTAAATGAGCCGCGCGGGGGGGGGGGGCAATCTATTGTTGTCGCGCATCATGAAAACCCGCGACGAACGGCCGATCAAATCGTCGACTCGATCGGACGAGGTGCGAATAATCGATTGAGCCGAATATTTTTATACGTTGAAGTAAAATACACCTGCACACACACACACACAAAATACACACACACATACACACACTGTGTGCGCACTTGTGTGTGTGTGTGTGTGGATCCGTGTAAGTTATATTATAAGTTACAACGAATGAATGAAGCTTCCATGCGATTTCTTTCTCATCTCGTACTGGCGACTCGATACCGTTCGTCGTGTTTTCACGACGGAGGGAGGAAGGATGGTCGGCCGATTCGTCCCTTCGAATAATTTACACCCGGTTTTATCGGCGTTAATATGGATCGAGATTAATTTCGAGATCGTTAGTAGTAGTCGATAGCCGATTGTTCGTCCGATTGCAGATGGAACGGTCACGAAGAAATGATGAATTCAGCCCGAACCAAGCCCGATGACCATCCAACCACCATTAGTTTAATAATGCACTTTTATCACATGTGATATCATTATTTCTTTTCTTTCTCTTTTTTTGTTGCAAACGGACGAGGTCGATTTATCTTATTCAATTTATTTTGCGTGTTACATCGTGATCATCGGAAGGTCTCTCCAGTCTTCTCGCGAAGAGAGCGATTCGAAAGGGTTTCACCGATTCCTCGCTGCTGGAAAACGAATTCTCTCATCGAGCCCCCGTATCAGACCAGACAGGTATTGATTGAGATGGAGGAGTGTGGGTTAGAGATGTGAACTCGGCGAATCAATTAACTCCGATCTTGACTCGCTCTGTCTCGATTGGTCAAGTTCCGATCTGTAATTCATAATCCTCAATCTCCGATATTTAGTTCGTTACAGGGGCTTTAACGTCTCGAACGGTTACATCGGAACCGCCATTTTCTTTCGCGATTTCGGAGTTTCACTGTTCTCCATGTGTGCGGAGATGAGAGCGATAAAAGTAATATTTATATCAATATCGTTGTATAAGCTTCTACCATGATACACACGATGCCATTGTGAAGTTATATTGAATTTTAATAAAGTATTTGTAATATAAAATGTGTCTCTCCTCTCGGGTTTACTTTAACTGATAAAAAAGGGAACAAACTATGCAACATCAACGGAACAGCACAGAATCGTTTGAGGATGATTACTAATGGCTACGTAATAACTATTGACAGAAAGTACCATATGCAATATGTCAAATTGTCGAACGAAAATATTAAAACTGCGCTAGTTTTGATTGCAATTGATCTTGCATAAAGATGCGGGAGTCATTAACGAGATAAGGTACGATTGAGACCAAAACGTTTATTTCTTCGGAAGAGCATTGCAAGTATAATAATAAAGTTTCGGGCGGACGAACAAAAACGGACATTGCTGTTGCAATTGCCAAACTCTCTACTCTACTGTGAGTATCACATTAATTTTCAAGAAAGAAGGTGGAAAGAAATTTGCGAATTTGCGAACAAAAATGCGGGGAACAATAACAACCGGCATCTTGCAGCAATACTTTATTTATGTCAAGTTGGCAATTACAATAACAATACAGTAATATCGTCGCAATAGTTGTTTTACGATTTATCGGCGTGAAAAAATCTCGGTAGAGTCCGTTTGTTTCTCTTTTCTACTATAATTCTTCTCTTTTGCTCTGTCTTTTCGTCAAGCTCATTACGCGCGTTTTCTTTGCCTCTCGGAAATAAGGGGAAAGGAAAGACAGATTCGATGCGGCGAAAACGGGACATGTTGCATACATTCCTCGGGAAGGGAAGGGAACGAGTGGAAATGTGCAACGAATATACGTTTACGAGCGTTGCTGATGCAAGATCGAAATTGTCTCGAATTGCCTCGAAATTGCCGAATATCTTTTTAATGTCTCGGACACTGACTGGTCGATTTGGGGCGTAGACATCTCCTGTGACCGAGACGGGAACGACGGGAATTCGTCGAAATCGTTCGAAAAACACGCAATTAAAAAGACATCCGGCATCCTTCAGCCATCTTGGTGCGATACGGACGTGACGATAAACGACGCGTGAGCTCGAGAAGAGAGCCGTGCGAAGTATTAACCGCGTTCGCAGCGATCAATCGGCGTCACCACACGTTTGTTCATTCATTCCGAATTCACGGCCAATTAATGAAGATTTGGCGTTCTTTCGTGGCGATCGATTTCATTAATCAATCGACGGAACGTAACTTTCGCTAAGAGACCGTTAACCTCAACCCTAACGGAGCCGGCTGTTGCAACGCGCATCGTAATTATCGCGTACTCGGCTGTACCCGGGCGGTTTGGTGCAATTATTGAGATAAACAATAATAATACTCACGCGTCGACGCAACTTGAGTGAGAACTTCGTCGCATACTTCTAAACACACGCAAAACAAAAGCTCGAAATGCCGCGGATGCGCGATGCTGCCAACTGCGGCAACGGCGAGATGAAACCGTTCAAATTCGAAGTCGCGCGTGCGTACCGCGAGCGCCGGTGTCACGTGACGTCAGTAGCGGAAAGCAAGACGCGGCTCCGCGGGCCCCTAAATAAAAGGAACGAATCATCGATATACGTCAAAAGGGCAGAATTTCGTAAAAAGGATATTTTTGTACGTTTCGAAATTTGAGAACTTGAAAGACGAAAGTTTCTCCTTTCCCATAAAAACATATGAATTTATATTGTACTAATGAACATTTAAAACTTTGTGAAATTTAGATTAGTTAATAGTATCTCTTAATAATATCTATGTAAAGATGAAATTCTCGGAATTACGCCCTTTTAACGAAATCATTTAATTGCTTTGTAAATTTTAATTAAAACTTAATTCTTTTTACAATTAAAACGCTGTGATACACACTTGCTCGCATTTTGGAACATTGAGAAAAAGTTTCAATTTTTCACCCGACGTTTTTTACAACAGTCTAGAGAGTTCTCATGCCAAAGAAAAACTATTAAAATATTTCATCTAAATTCCGTGTGTGCACGCCAATGTGAAGATTTTTCCAATTTCGCAGGGGTAGATCGTACGAGCTTTCAAGACTTGATTATTGGCCGATATAATTCTGTACACAAGCTGGTGGAAGCTATCGATAAGAGACAATCGCGCGTCGAATTATTCTCACGTCGAGACAATGAAACGCACCGACTTTTTCTCTCTTTTGAATTATGCACAAAGCGGAATATGGAATAAAATTGCAAATTGCATGGTAGATGTGAACATAGCGAGTGCAGATCGAGTGCGCTTTGTTGGAGGGTCGCTCAAAACAACGACGACGACGACGACGACGACGACGACGACGACGACGACGACGACGACGACGACGACGACGACGACGACGACGACGACGACGACGACGACGACGACGACGACGACGACGACGACGACGACGACGACGACGACGACGACGACGACGACGACGACGACGACGACGACGACGACGACGACGACGACGACGACGACGACGACGACGACGACGACGACGACGACGACGACGACGACGACGACGACGACGACGACGACGACGACGACGACGACGACGACGACGACGACGACGACGACGACGACGACGACGACGACGACGACGACGACGACGACGACGACGACGACGACGACGACGACGACGACGACGACGACGACGACGACGACGACGACGACGACGACGACGACGACGACGACGGACGACGACGACGACGACCGACGACGACGACGACGACGACGACGACGACGACGACGACGACGGACGACGACGACGACGACGACGACGACGACGACGACGACGACGACGACGGACGACGACGACGACGACGACGACGACGACGACGACGACGACGACGACGACGACGACGACGACGACGACGACGACGACGACGGACGACGACGACGACGACGACGACGACGACGACGACGACGACGACGACGACGACGACGACGACGACGACGGACGACGACGACGACGACGACGACGACGACGACGACGACGACGACGACGACGACGACGGACGACGACGACGACGACGACGACGACGACGACGACGACGACGACGACGACCGACGACGACGACGACGACGACGACCGACGACGACGACGACGACGACGACGACGACGACGACGACGACGACGACGACGACGACGACGACGACGACGACGACGACGACGACGACGACGACGACGACGACGACGACGACGACGACGACGACGACGACGACGACGACGACGACGACGACGACGACGACGACGACGACGACGACGACGACGACGACGACGACGACGACGACGACGACGACGACGACGACGACGACGACGACGACGACGACGACGACGACGACGACGACGACGACGACGACGACGACGACGACGACGACGACGACGACGACGACGACGACGACGAAGAAATATGTCACGTTATGCGCGTGAGTTCGGTACGCGTTCAACAATAGTTAAAAATGAGAAACGCAACGCACGAAGCCTAAAATCATCGCACCGATCTTACTGAAAAGCCCTTCTTTGCTTATACTCGTGAGCGAAACGATCCATCAGCGTAAGAAAGAACAAACAAGATCATCGTCAACGTGACGTTCCTGTTACACAAATATCTTTCTCTCTCTCTTACATATCACACACGCATCGACACAGTTACAACGCAAGTCGAATCGCTATAATAATTAATATTAATAATAGTAATAATAATATCAATAATAATGCTCGTAAAACTTAACAGAACAAGCATCGTTATAAACGATCACGACACGCACCACGCAGAGTCTGGCTGTGTCAAGAGCCTCGTTATCCTCAGCACGACCAACGCTGCAGGCAGTGACGATGTGAACTACCTAATCCGTATATCAATTGTCACATATTAGGTTTCTACGTTTATATCGTATATGTATATATATACATGATCGCGGATACACATGAGGCCATACCCCTAGAAAACTGGCGTGAAATCAAAACAGGTCGACGAATCGAGGCTGCTGCTGCTGCTGTTGCTGCTGCTGCTGCTACTACTGTTGCGAAACTGGGAGATCGAAGGGTTCTAGCTCGAAGAACGTAGTGTGCAGTCTAGTCTCATCGTCGACTCGTTCCTCCGTTCGGAACCCTTCGATTTGACACGCGATTGATACTTGATTTCAGAGGGGGGATTTTTGTCTTTCTATCTCTCTCTCTCTCTCTCTCTCTCTCTCTCTCTCTCTCTCTCTCTCTCTCTCTCTCTCTCTCTCTCGACAGCGCATCCGGATTTTCGGCGGACTTGAGAAAGCGCAACATTCCGCTCGGCGGCGTTAGAGCGCAAATTGTATTTAGACGCGCACGCAATTTCAGTTTCCCCGGAACTTCTTTCAATGTTCTCGACGATAATTCAAACTTCGAACGAAGTGTCGCAAAAGCGCAGGTGATACATGGGATGGCGCGTAGAATAAATAGTCGTTTGCACAATGTACTTTCGAGATTCTATCGGATCGCAGACTGGGAAAAATATCGAGTCCGTTTAGAATTCGCTATTCTACGATAGATAATGTGATCGAGAAAATTTTCTCTCTCTTTCTCTCTCTCTCTTTTTTTTCATCGCAAAATTGTTTCATTTATACGACGTCGGCAACAATTAAGGACACTCTCCTCATATTTCCTTTCTTTTTTCTTTTCGTTTTAATTCTGCCGGTGTACTATCTGCGAAATTGCTCCTAAGTAATGACGATGAAAGACAATCTTCAATCAAATCCCGTCGCGTCGACACCGAAGGCACCAAGTAAAAGAAATACACAACCCGTCCGTGTTTCCTCATTCTTTTTCCTTTTCTTTATCCTCATTGTTTAACGTTCCAATAATTGCTTCTAATCTTCAGTTCATACTCAGTATTCCTCTTATTCTTTTCTTTTTTGGCACTGTTTGGCCGCGTATTGTGTGTATGTGTATGTTCGAGACGTAGATCACTGCGTCATCACGCTGAAGTGAATTATCGAGGTACTATCAGACATTATATGCGTTACAAGTTTATCTGGGGAAACATCCATAATACATGTTCTATTTTGTATATCATCGTAAATACTTACGTCGGACAAGCAAATACGAATGTGTTTCCGAAACGATTCACTTCTCTTTCTCATTTTCCCTAATATCTCGTAATACTTCAATGATTCACTTTGACAAATTTATAATAAAATTATTTTATTACACCTTATCGTATTTTGACTAAATGTATAGTAAGAAAAGGACAAAGGATGGATCTATATATAGTATTATATATAATTTTTCTTACACAATAAACAGAAACGACAATGGCACAAAGTGTTACTAAACTCGTTACGTTAGCTTTGATTTAGCGTTCATTCGATTATTGGCAACGTGATGAATAAGTTTAAGTGTTAAACGTTAGTCTCGAGCTGATCTCGTTTCGCGCTAATCATCGCTACTTTATTATTCTGTTTTGCTTCTCTTAACGCGCGTTAATTTCTCATTCACGCAGCAGACTCTCATTTTCTCACATTCTCTCTCTCTCTTTCTCTCTCGCATGTTTCTTCTTATGTATTTCTCGTATGTATGTATTATTTGTGTGTCTGTGCAAGGTTTGTAAAAAAAAAAAAAAAAAAAAAAAAAAAAAAAAAAAAAGACCCGACTATACTTCGTTTGAGTCTTTTTACGTCATTGTGCGTCCTTGGGAATCTGACTAGCACATAGATTTCAAACGAATAAATTATACTTTCCTTTCCACTGTTCCCCGTTACCTACACGTCGTTTGCCCGCTGCAAAAGATGCGACACGACGTTACTGTCGCGTACACGCAACATATAAACGTTCGTGAGCCGGTAACAAGCATACATGTTAAACACAAAACGGGAGTTCGTGATTAGCATTTGGCTGCGCGCTATGAGATAATCGGCTCGTTGTCCGAAGACAGTGATGTTGCACACCGCCTGCCTTTTCTCTCAGTATATTGTTCGTTTTACCGAAAGCAGTTTGTCAAACATCATCAGAGTTTCTGTCACTCTTTCTCTCATAATCGTTAAGCGTTAAATGAAGCGTTAAAGAGGGAGAAGGGAAAAAGGTCGAATTTCAACGAGTTGCCACTTGCAAAATGAAAGATAATTTCACTGTACGCTTAATAATCGAAGAAAATACTGCAATTTCTTAAATACTGTAACTCTCCACCGTGAGACACGTAAATGGTTAATCATATTATGTACAGTATCGTGATGTAGTGATAATCCATGAATAAAAGTGATGTATTTGTGAAATGTTTATGTTGCAAAGCTGTCCAAAGTTGTTTCACCTTTCCCGAGCGTCTGACCGAATTGCGTATTTGATGCGAAAGACAAAACAAGCGAGAGTAAGAGTAATATTTTTGACAATTTGCACGTTCGAAGGATTGATATTGTTTTAAGGTTGCAAGTTGCTCGACAGATTGGAAAGTGTTGTAATGTATTAAAATATAAATAAATGTAAGACAGAAAGTGGAAATATAACGTAATGTATAAATATGTAATGCATAGCGCGCATATGTTGACAAAGAAGAAAAGGAGATGATCAGCGCGAGATCAAACGGATCGTCTATTTTGTAAATCATATTAATATTATATAATAATAATCATAATAACGTTAATAACGACAGCGACTGTTTCCATAGAGTGAGCTTCGTGAGCGTATCACAGAACAATATTCGCAGACACACTTGTCGACTGAAGTCACCCTTTTACATGACACTCGTCATCGGGGTCTGATCAATTCAACATAGTGAGTTGTTGGCTCTGCTTGTTCGAGAAAATAATAACTTGAAAAACGCGCAACACACCGGAACGAACTGCTGGAACCGTAACACCGGTCTGCCGGTTCTGTACAACATCACTGTCGTCTCGCGAGAGGCGATTCGTTCGTTCATACGCTCGCACGCTGCCGCGATATAACGTGCATACAGTCAAATGCATCAGTCTCTATCGTATCAAAACCTTCGAGTTATACTGTTAAAACCTCATCAACTTCATCGTCTTCGTCGTCGACAATCACGGATTGGACTTACTGAGGAAGCTGACAAGCATTCGTTCATGCCGTGCACCCAAACGGGCAAACCTCTTAAGTATCGCGACCCTGAGAGTCGTGGAATTGGATGTTAGTTAATTTTTGTTGTTGCTGCGCGGACTCGCCGGTTGACTATTCGCCTGTTGCTGCGCACGTTGTATGTAAATATTCAGGAGCTTCAGTTTACTGGAGTACAAACAGCTCAGGTGTGGTTTGAGAACTTCCTCGCCGACCGCCACGTGGATCGCTACCATGCAAAATACCGCGCTTTTCCGAACAGCGCTCTCGGCATCGTCATAAGCCTGTGTATTGTAACATACCTATTGATACATCGCCCACACGTGATTTTTATAATAGCATGTGAACGTCTTATTTTTGCTTAATATGCACTTGAGAATTTAACATATTTAACATATCATATTATACTATATATTGGGTTGGCAACTAAGTGATTGCGGATTTTGTCGACAGATGGATTTTACATTTTCTTTTGTTTCGTTAACGTGTTCAAAGTAACCTAACCTATATTTTTTCTTATTGTTTGGACTTCTACCTTTCATTTAGTACAAAAATTATATCGATTAGTTGTTTAGTTTTGTTTTTATCCCAATTTAAAAATGGAAGAGCAAGACGTGCACTTCAGACATATTTTATTGTATCATTTCCGAAAAGGCAAGAACGCATCGCAAGCACACGAGAAGTTATGTGCCGTATATGGGAATGAAGCCTTGAAAGAAAGGCAGTGTCAAAATTGGTTTGCCAGATTTCGTTCTGGTGATTTTTCATTGAAAAATGCTCAACGATCTGACCGTCTGGCAGTTGAAGTCGATGAGACCCATATCAAGGCCATTATCGATTCAGATCGTCATAGCACAACACGTGATATTGCAGAGAAGCTCAATGTATCGCATACATGCATTGAAAAAAATTTAAAAAAGCAAATTTAAAATTTTGAATTTTCATTCTTATTTAAAATCCGCAATCACTTAGTTGCCAACCCAATACATTTTATTACAATTCATTAATATCACATTAATTACATTAGCGTTAAGATTTTCGCTAAGCTCACCTTGATGAGACCCGGCATAACCTTGGCAAGATGGGGTTCTATCGCATCGCGACCCCAATGCTCCACTACTTTATGTAACATCTTTATTGCACCCATATTCAAGGGATACGGTTCCGTGGCGATGATAGTCGAGACCAAATGTATAATTTGTTCCGGCTTGAGAACCATGGCTATCGTCGCCGCGCACTTTTCCGCGTTCCAATGTACCTGTCGCAAACAGGAACGTGAGTCTAGCGCAAGTAAACGCATAAACTCTGTGTGTGCTATTTAAAATAATCAAGCGGAGATGATAACTCACTGGAGATCTGCCGCCGCTACCACTGGAAGCATCGACCTTTTGATCGTCGGATTTGTAGGCATAAATAACTTTCAATATTAACAACTCGGGATAAAAGGAGAAGCTCTCTACCAATTCGGGGCACTTAAGCATGTCGATTAGCGTCTGAAGCACTTCTACTTGTATCACCTTACCGTCGTTAGATAGACTATCTAATAAAGTTTTGAGCACTTTCCTGGAACGTCGTATGATCAATAATAAATTACTAAGACGAAAACTTCTCTAATATGAAAGATACACATGAAATCTCGTCTGACTTACTTGAAGTTTCGTTTAATATGCGCCGCGTCACCCTCGCGAACGTACAATTGGAATTCCTGTAAGACAGTGACTTTCTCTGTAGTTTGCGTCATCTTGGACTGTAAAGTCTTGATCATGTTATCCACAATCTCTGGTCTGTTTATCGAGTCTGGCGATGATCCTGCAGATAACATTGAAATATTCGAGTACATAGAAATATTTTATCGTTCAATAATAATTTACATACCATGCGTTTTATAACCATTATTTTCCTGAGGTAGAATCAAATCGCCGGCTATCGTATCGCTGGACCCGTTCACTGTTATGTTGCTGACAGATCGCCCTCGCTGGGTTGGCGAGGAGACGGATGAAGATCGGCCCTGAAACAACAAGTCCAATTATACCACAAAGTATCCTTAAATAATATTATAGACGTTCAACTAATTTTTATTATTATATTCATTTTTTTTTAGTTGTATTTAAAGTCTACTTTTTCCGGCTTTCCTTTAACAAACGCGTTTCAAGGACGCGTCAACTTATTATTAATAAAAAAAAAAAAAAAAAAATAAGCATCGTACATCTTCAGATCGTTTTACTTAAAGGAAATGCCTGTTCGACTTATCATTGAGTCATACTAGGACCTCGAATTCTCAGTGAGGACAGTGGAGGGTAAAATTCGTGAATCTGATGGACATGTGCTCTTCGATTCAGTCGAGAGTAAGCACTATATTTACAAATTTTACAGTTGCAAAGCAATTTTTTCTATTGAATGGAGCCAGTTAGTTCGTTTTGGTCAGTAACGCACATTTAGTTTCAAAGTCTCACCGTTACGAGTCTTCACTGTCCACAATGAAGAATCGAGGTCGTAGTATGACTCAACGATGAATCAGACAGACTTCTATTTCAAACCATCTCGTCTCAGTAATAATGTATCAGATTTCATTGACGAAGAAAAGTCATTATTTTTAAGATTTATATTTTTTTTCGATCCACTTGAACGCCCATCATTCTTTTAGCTTCCTGTCGCGATTTTTTTTTACGTCGCTTACCGAATTAGATAATGTCAGGCCTTCCATTCTCTCCTCCACATCCGCCATGTTACTGATCCCGCTGTCCTTGCTAGTAGTGGCTCTTTCCAGACGTTCAAAGCCATAATTTTGAATCTCAGCGGTTGTGCGTCGCAGCGATCTGTAAGAAGAACTTGAAAATGAAGACATCTCGGCATGAGATGTGATGACTCTAAGAATTTATGCTCAAAGGATCAAGATATAGTCACGTACTTGTACACCTCCTCCAGGTTCTCGTCCCCTCCGTCGATTTCAGTCTTTCCCTCTGCTTTATTGTCGTTTTTCACCTTCGTCCGTGCTGGCGAACTCTGCGCTCTAGGCGGCGGTGTGCCGGGTGACGCCGGGTTACTCGAGGCGGACGATTTTCTCACATGATTCTGTACTAGAGGCCACGCCGTTTCCTGAAGAGAGAGAGAGAAGACACTGATTCAGCACACGTGAGCGGAAAGAAAAACATCAGGCGCTATAGCTGACGCTGAAAAACTTCAACGGTCGTCTCACTCAACACACTTGGTAGTATTTCGGTAATTCGGAGAGTATCATAGTAACTTGAGGCGTATTGAGATTGTAAAGCGATATCACAGCGTTCTGCGCGTGCCTCCTAACGTCTTGGCTTTTAACGTCATTCGACCAGTCGAGCAGCCGTGCTAGCGCTGTTGGTGCAGAACTGCCCAGAGCGGACGGCTCTGCCGTCTCAGCGATCTGCGTGATAAAAGTCAATGCTGCTACTTTCACGCGAGAATTTGGTGTTTGTGTGGGATCTGTCAGATACCTCATCACAGCTGGTAGAAGCTGTTGGCCCGGGAAACAGTCTCTGAACAAATGATTACAACATTTAAGTTTGTCGATATGTAATAACAATCAGTAACATCGCGGTGGTACCCACACGTCACGTCAACGATTGTGCACAAATTCTCACCTCACAACGTCAAGCGTTTTGTGGATCTTTGCTTGTATAGATCCCAGTAGATCGGTACCCAACTTATTGAGGAGCCTCGCGCACAGAACGTAAAGCCAGTCGCCGAGATCCTCGTTGTGAGTGACCAATAATTCGTTCAGCGTGTCCAAGAATAGACTGAACACTTTGGTGTGAGAATCCATGAACATTTTCGTAAAAATGTCCGTCACTCTACGTAATTCTGTGGTAGTTAGTGTATTGCCCGTGTTCAGAAAATGCTGCAAGCCCACTAAACCCTCCTTCCTGTCTCCCCAATGCTTGTGAGCACAGTTCTCAATAATCTCTTTGATGTCCTGTAAAACGGGAAGGCATGGTCGTGTGCTACTTCTTTTAACTTTTTTTAACGTATGTACACATATGCTGATGCTTCGAAATAATATTCTGTCGACAGAGCGTACGCATATGACACTCAATGACATACAATCGCTGTACTCTAACTGTGTGTGATTTCAGCTATCTGCTAGCTTGTGCTCTAATTCACGATACATCTATGTCTCATCAATCTCATCAATGTACAGATACGAAAGAAAGTAGAATTGAACAAACCTTCGGGATAGACTGATCCCATATATCACGGTATAGTCTCGGTTGCGAGCCACTCCATGAGAACGACTATGTGTGGGTAGATGGGCGATGGAGAGATATGGAGAACAGAACGGCGTGTCGCGTTAGTCCAAACCAAACAAATACGCCGTAACAAAACCAAAAGTGAAAACCAGACATGCATTAGCTACATCGTCATACAGTGCGCTAAAGGGTTTTTCGCATTGCGAAGCTATCTCGCGTTTTCCTCATTCTCAATAGAAAAAAAAAAAAAAAAAGACCGACACGTATGTAAATAATAAAGAGCAGTGAAACGAGAGTCCGCTTTAATTCAACAGAAATCAATATCACAGTCCCGAGTCAAATGTAAAACAAATGATGTAGAGCGCGAAGTAACATCTCGAGGTCTGCGTCGTATTGATCGATTTGCATGCTGTATTGAGGTGAAACCTACGTGTATCGCAGAAGCGTCAATTAATCAATTATAAAAAGCGATAAAGTCACTTATTAATGTCACGTGAGGACATGCGTAAAAATTCGTCATATATTAATGCTGTATGATTCGTGAGACAATATGCATGAAGATGCACTTGTAATATCGCATCTTCGTGAACGTGTTAATTTATGAAAAAGAAACATTAATTCATATGGACACGTATTTATTATTAGGTTAACCTCGATTCTATACACGACATACGCTCGTTCTTCGATCGAAGTGACGAAGAAGATCGAATGCCTAAGCCAACGATCGCGCTGTATTTGTTTTCTATATAGGCTTTAAATACGCAAGAGAGAATTTGCACTTACATCACTAGCTCGCCTGAAACCGTCTATGCTTCGTTCCGAGCATATGCTGCTGTTCTCGCTGTCGTCGCTGTGATCCCCTTTAGTTCCCGGTATTCTGGTGTAGTTGTCTATACTGTCGAATGTCAGCGCGTCCGCCAAAGCGGACTCGGCTTCGCGCGACTTCTGCAGCATCTTCTGCGCCATAACCGGCGGTCTGCTGCTGTCCGTCGGCGACATGTGAAGATTTCTGCCCCTGTTAGTCCGAATGATCAAGTGTTTCACTTTGGATCCGACTGGAATATTCGCGACAAACAAACACGTTCGTACATTGTACGTACCTCAGTTTGCTCGCGAAACTTCTGTCCATTCCGAATCTCTGTGGGCTGGGCTCGCGACTGTTACTCGTGCTGCCGATGGCATGTCCAGACAATCGCCTCGGCCTGCCAATCAGTGATTCACCCTCGCGATTGTACGTGGCGTAACTTAATCTAGACGATGGAGAACCCGATCTACTGCTGGCTGTTGTAGTGAAAACATTCGATTGGTCCGTTAATGGATTCAACGTTAAAGATTTTTGTATAAACTTCATATGTAGTTTTGACAGGAAAGATCACAAGACTCACGTTGAGATTGCGAAACTCCGGAGACTCTTGTTCTGGTCCTAGCGACTCTTTCTGGACTAGCAACCGCGTTGGGATCAGGTGATTTACTAGGACGCGCTGCAATATATAAAAATAATACATCAATCAACGCACCCCGATTTGTACGGCCGGATACTTCGTTCTCGATTTGCGCTTTCTGGAATCTATGTGAGACTTTCGAAACTTTCACGTCAAGACGTTACACTCACGTATTGCCGCAGCTGCTTTCTGCCTGCTCATATTAGCGTACATTAATCTAGCCTTCGCCCTTTGAGCAGCTTGCAGATCGATCGCACTAGTAGACCGAACTCCTCCTGGTGTACCTCGATCTGCAAAGACACGATGCAAATTAATTTCACAACAATGACATCACGCAACATCTATTAACCGGTGCTAGAGAGACAGAGAGAGACAGAGAGAGACAGAGAGAGACAGAGAGAGACAGAGAGAGACAGAGAGAGAGAGAGAGAGAGAGAGAGAGAGAGAGAGAGAGAGAGAGAGAGAGAGAGAGAGAGAGAAAACAAAGAAAGAAGAGAGGCCAACGCGAGATAACTAGTTTCGTTTGTGCACAGCGATCTTATTCTTTGCGTGTGACGTAACGAATGATTGCAGAACAATTACAGTGACTGTCTGTTGGTCTTTGCAGTATCGGGATACCAGACTGACGATAAGACCGAGGCAAGGACGGTGTACGTCTGAGCGGGCCGTGTGGCTGGCCCATGGTCTGATGCAAATTTTCCGTACTACCTTCATACGTTTTAACGTAAAGAGAAGAAGTCGCAAAGCAGCATGAAAACAGAGTGAGACAAGTCCTTTATGTTAGGATCGCAGGAAACACGAGTAACAACTGTTACATATTCAACGTAGACTTTACTCTTTCTTTTGTTCTCGATACATCGGCTGGTTTTTTGTCGCGGTATTGCTAAGAAGGCGGTATTCAAAGAAATGAAGCGCTCTTACCTGCCGCGCTCATCACAGGTCGAGCTGTACGTGGACTAACGCTCGACGATCTCGCATTAGCCACAATATTTAAACTATTACTACTGCCGCTATTGCTGAGAGACATCAAGGAGCGTTTGTATGTCGCATCCAGGTTATTAAGTAGTATCTCAGCCTGCTCTGGAAAGTGATTTTTAAATGCCCAGTATGATCTATAAAAAGCGATAGAATTAACAACGTCGTCATGTCGATCTTCTTGTTAAAGGAAGAAGCATGTTGAAGGATGACTCGAAGAAAGGCGCACTCACTTCCTGGCAAAAACTCGCGCTTCCGCGTCAGAGTCGGCGATGCCTTTCTTGAGCGCGTCTGGCAATACCGTGACGTGCTTTTGCAATATCTGCGTAGGCCAGGTCTGCAGAATTAAAGCCAGATATTCCCAGGACGCGCGGCGGATGTCTTTGCTCTTGTTGCTCACGCACGATATAATAATAGGCACGTATCGACTGCAGTGGGTATTTTGAAGGATAAACCTAACTGCCACCGCACCGGCTGTCGCCACGACCTAGTGACGACCGTGAAAGAAAAATGTTCGGTAATTAAGTAAAATTATAGTCTTTTATAAGGATTATAAATGAAGATCAACAAGGACACACACACACCACATGTGTGTTCTACATGACACTCTACGAAGTACAAATATATCCGTCCAAGTCGTAGGCGAAAAGTCATTTGAACGACATAATCGTGTTTAAATGATGTACTTAGCAGAAGCATCGGTATTCCGTGAAACTCACCTTGGCACTGTTCTGTATGAGGTTCATTAACGTGAGCAAAACAGCCTCGCCAAAACTGGCGAATTTGGTCTTCAGGCTGTGACTCAGAAAGGCTAGAGTTATACATGCCTCTCTCGCCACTTGGGATCTAAGATCGGTGCAAGCCTGTTCGAACGGTCGCTGTACGCTCTTTAGGCACTCGTGGAAATTTTCGTAGTTAGTGCCACCTGCGAGTACAATGGCTCTTAACTTTCTCATCTGCAAAAAGGCAAAAAGACACGGTTAGAAAAAATCACCGGTTGTAGAGGAGAGAAAAGTAGAGAAAAGAAAAGAGAGATCGCATTCACTCGATGCTCACACTATCCATTCTCTGTTTCCAGTCTTTCTTGTCATCGCCCACTGTATCCTTGATAATCTTCATTTGTTCTTCGAGATCCTTTGCTGAATATAACGTGACGGTAGGTACGTCCTCGAACGAAGTGATGAAGCATTCTTCGTCGACAGCTCCGGCTTGCGCTGGACAGAGCATGCAGTGAAAATATTCGTTGTATACACCAGGCTGAATATAATAATATAACAATGCACGTGTAAGATGTGTGCGCGTCGAATTGCAATAATTATATCTCCGAATCTACACATTATTGTTCATGCCTGACATTTTTACAGTTCCCGATTAGCTTATATGAATGGCTACGAACAATGATCGTGAACAACAGCGTTCAAGCTGAACTCACAATACGAACGATAATGGAAAGCACTTCAAAATAATAAACATATGATTGCAAATAATAATTAACAAGCATTATGTGTAGCTACACATCAAGGTGACATCAAGCGTACGACGATGACAACGATGTGCGGGGGTTTTCATTTGCATACTATAAACTATCCCATTCAGTAAGGACAACAAATTAATGTGTGAGATGTGTGTGTGTGTGTGTGTGTGTAATTTGTTGTAATTTATCGACCGCAATTTTCGTTATATGCAAAATTTACTCTTGTATCTCAAATCAAGTCACAACGCGAACATGTCCCCAGTCGAAAAAGTCACTTCGATTCCCTGAGTATATATATATTTTAAATGCCAATAGTAGACTTGGATATACCTGTTGCCGATCTTACTGATAGAGCTCTTTTGACGGTCGCTGCCCTTGGAACCGTGGATGATGAAGTAGTACCAGAGTGAGCTGTCATGCAAGCGAACAGTTAGAGCATCATTCTCGTCATCGTGACATCAACGCACGTTGACCGTTTGCTGACGAGTCTTTCGACGTGTGTTTGGTTTGTTTGTTTGTTTGTTTGTTAACAATGATGCAAAAGTAAAGCTGCGCCGCGGTTAAAACTCAAGCGTATTACACGGCGTGTTTGCCCGTACATACGTGCGCGTCTAGTTTTGCAGAGAATTGTGCTTCTGTGACATTATTAGTCAACATTGAGTCATGACATTCACATAAATCCTCAGATGAAACAGAGACACATTTCAGGTAAAATACGCCGGGACGATCATTCACAGTACGAACAACTTTCGACTTACACGACAGCAGGCCAACAGTGCTACGCGTTAATATTCGCGTGTAATTGAAGTACACGACACATTCAGTTTCAATATGCTAGCCAAAAGTGAAGGGAGGAAGACGACGAGTTTTATAAATTAAACAGTACACGCGTTCGACAAGCGTTACAAATAACAAACAGAATTATCGAATCCACGCAATAACACTACGACAATTCCGGTACTCGACACCTACCAACTGAAGAGGTCTTTAAATAAACTATAAAAAGACTTTTACCGCAACTAACTTTGCGACATGTCATGCTCTCGAATGAAATGTTAACGTTGGATCGGTCATGTGATTCGCGATGGTAACAATTGAGACACGTGTGTAACTTGCGATATACCTAACGTGGAGGATGGCGTCTTCGCGGGTCCAAATTGACCTCTTTTGGGCGGCATGTTCAGCCTCTTAACGGGAGCCGATTTGACCTACAATAGAAAATCGTGTTTTCACATTCGTTCGATCTATAAGCGCTAGCTTCAAAGTTGTTTGCGTCCTCGCAAACTTCACACTCACCGCTCTGTCAGGCTCGTCACTGTCCTTGCCAACTGAAACAGAGGAGAAAAATCAATCGTTAGTTCGGGATCCTTCTTCGTCAGTAAATCGTCGTCGAAGTAAATCGCCAACTTTGTTGAAGCGCGTGAAATTCCCAAATGAAACAATCGATCGTTCGGTGCAATGAATTAATCTTAAGTCAAATAAATCTTAAATCAAAGAATAATTAATAAATTTGAGTTTGCGTCAGTTTTCAATCACACGTGACGACATCCGCGACTTCTCCGGACACTCGGACTTAACTCGCATCTACTTCCACTTGGAATACCTCGCTTGAAACGAGTCTCAAGGAATCCATCACCAATGGACGGCGTTAAACGTCCGAGAATATCTCGCTGCGAGACATCTCGTCATAATTACAGCGTGTCGCAACGCATCGCAGGACCGTCTGCTGGTCCTCGTGAAATGAGAATTTATGTACCTAGATCCGGGTACAACCACGGTGGCTTATGGATATCGCAGTGACAACCTCTTGCCCTCGCCCCGGGATGCTTGACTATGTTATCCCACTGCAGTATCCACCTGCTGCTCGCATCCCACAACTTCTTATCGATACTGGGGTACTTCTTCAACCCCCGACGTAAGCAGCGGTGTCCGCTCGGTACTAACACGTCGGCGTCGTTCATCGCGAGTGATATATGCACGAGGCACGAATCCTTCCTTCTCTAGTGGCAAGGATAAATTCCTCGACGGGTCGCGAGAGCGTTACCACGACGACGCTGGCATTTCGCCGGCGTCGTCATCCTAATGAAATTCGGTGCGAGAAACGGGATTTTCCCACCTCCGTTCTTCTCTCGAGATCGCACTGTCGCTGAATTTTTTTTTCTCTTTTTCCTTTCAATGTCTACCGCCTCCAGAAGCCTCCAGAAGCCTCCAAGCAGCAGTACGGTATATCGTCGAACTGCAGATTTGAAGGAACAAAGTCGATAGCACCAAGAAGACGAAAGCGGGAGGTAATCGACGGTAAATTACCCCCTCCCGCGGCTACAACAACAGAGTATCAGAGCGAGGATGCGATATGGAGAGCGTTTATTGCGAGCAATTAACGCGGTTATCTCTAAACTCGAGCCGTTCGCGATAGCGACAAGTCACGAGAAGCCGGCTGATGAGCGCACGAGTTCGCGCGCTCGGCTTTGTGCTTTTCTCTCCCTGCGATGCATCGCGAGATCCTCGCTAATGAATGTCTGAAGAGGAGAGGAGCTCACGAAAGTGTAAAATCCGCGAGGGAAACGCGCGACTGTCGCCCAAGCCGCGTACACGCAGTGAAAGTAATCCTTGTTCCTCGCCCTTTCCCGCGCGTGCACGCTACCACGTCGAATTAATTTCCACATCCTAATTGGATGTTCCCGCGAATGAGCCTTATTAATGCGCCGCTGCGAGCGACTCATTAGATAGCGCCCGCCTCTGTCTACCTGATCGCGCGCGCCCGAAAATGATCAACCGGAGGAGAACGAGACGATTCCTCGTTTCACGGGATGTGTTTGCAACGAGACTGTAACAACACCGCGATAACACGGCACAACACCGACGGAGAGCCAAAACTCTCCCCGATTAACTTGATCATTATTCAATAACCACTTGCCATGGTCACTACTTGCCAGAAATTGCCAGAAAAAGACGAGTCTCAGTTACGCAATTACGGAAGAAAGCAGCGTGATAATTCTAACAGGACTATCCGCGAAGCGATAACGACAATATACGACAAGATACTGGAACCGAGAGAATTCCAAGAGCGTATCGCCGATAGCGGGTTGCCAACTGTCCGGTTTTGAGAACTGTCAAGTTTTCAGAAGTCTTGTCCAGTGTCCGGTTAATAAGTCAAACCGAGCGTCATATGTCGCCGAGTTTTAAGTTATACCCAATCGATGGAATGAGAGTTGAGATTTTAGCAACGTTTCTCCGTTTCAAGCGATCTACGTCACGATCGAGCGTCACGAAGAGCCATCTAGTGGATGATCTGCCGATCCATCATTCCATATATACGAAAAAAGTAATAGTTTATTATTTTATTCGATCAAATCTTGCTTATAAAATTGTTTGGAAATTAATATTGTAAATCAATTCTTGTCATATTTTGTATTTAATGTAACGTTATTATGATTATTATTTCTGTCCGGTTTGGGTTTGTCACCAAAGAAGAAATGCCCGGTAATTTTAACTTTCGGATCTGGCAACCCTAATCCCGCCGAGCGTCGTCGAGCAAGCCCGACGTGGAACAACAGAATGTACATTTTTTCGATCTACGGCTCTCCCGCGTGATGCTACAAATCTCGTCGCTCCCGTCGAGATAAGACGAGTCATTCCGGCGATGCTCATTCAATTTCGAAACGAGCCGCTTAACAAAGCGCACCGAGGCGAGTGTCTGGAATTATTATGGCGTAAACTGGCGGTTTGTAGCGAATGGCGAGAGTAAACAGCAATTAGGCCTCTTTCCGTGGGATTTCAAAATTGCCCGACGTAACAGCTCCTAATGTTTACTCGGCTCTCTCGCAAGCATCTTATTATCTGCCTGCCTGCCTGCCTGCCGTGCATTCTCCGCGGTCGTACGCATGTACGCATTAAGAGGTCTCGATAGTTATCCGCGGCCGCGTCGGTGCGTTTGCAGCGAGAGCGCGGTGTGCACTCCGAAGGATTCCTTCTCTTCTTCTCACCTCGCCGCCTCCTCGCGAGGCAACGCACAACACGGGGACTTTCGACATTCGGCGCGTCGGCGGCATTCACTCCTCGGCGAGAGAGCTTTTCGCGCGCGCTCGAACCGCGCTAATGAGCTTTCGTGTCTGTCGTTTAGCGTACGTAGCGTATAAAACGGGTAATGCAATCATTACGCTCGAGAAAATTGGATCTCGATAAGCGCGAGTTACGTTATAATTCTCAGCGCAAGTTGCAAGACACATCCGCTCCTGGTTCAGAAATTCACTCCTCAACGGATTTATCTCGCTCTCTGTTTGTCCATCGGAAATTCAACATTCCAACATGGCCGTGGATCGTTGCGCGCGGCAATTATATATCGCGATCGCGATTTATTTGCGAGTTTCACACCGCCGCCGCGACCGGGGCGGCGGTAGAACGTTCTTCTCTTCGGGAAGGTGACGAACTTGAAACTTCTTCATCTATTTGTAAGCGAACGATCGTCCAATAATAAATAAACGAGTCGTTATTATCGCCGCGCACATCGTCGATAATAATATCCCGGGAAAAGCGAGAATACGATATAGACGAGAGATATACGAGCGGCATCGAGAACTATCAGGCCGGCCGATCGCGACCCATTTATTAATATCTTCGATACCGGTTCAGTGTTCTCCGGTAACAATGAACGTACATTCACACGCGCCACGTTACACGTAACAAGACCGGTTAATGAGAAACCCCATTTTCTCACGTTACAGATAGCATCGTCGTCTCTCGCGCGCCTTCTCCTCGTCTTTCCAGCGGCGTTTCATTCAGACCTCCGTCCGCGTTTTCCGAGTTGGGGACGACGAGGAGGAGAAGGAGAAGGAGGAAGAGGAGGAGGAGGAGAAGGAGAACGGAGAGCGAGTCGTTGTTTTTGACACACGCTCTGAATCTTCGTTATCGGGGTTGATGAACGAGCTCTTCTTCGCGCTCCACAGAATCGAATTAAAGCGACCGAACGCGATCATTCCAGAGTATAAGTGTCTCCTCGAGGGAAGAAAAAGATGCAAAACACTTCACACCGTTGAGTGACAACCGTTGGAGTAACCACCACCACGTGTCCGGCTCGTTTCTCTCTCTCTCTCGAGAACGCGCACCTATTATTATTATGAACATCATTCTCCTGAAACCGAGAGAGAAAAAAACGTCGACGAACGTTCGACTCCATGACCACGTGGTCTCTTCGTCAACGCGACACGTGCTTCAAACCACCGACGCGACCGCCGGGGCCACCGCGTGGTTTCGGAGGAAAAAAAAAAAAAAAAATTATAATATTCATCGTACTTCCCGGAATCGCATTTCGCGATCACGATCGGCCGACCGATCTTCGCTGCCATTATTATATGTGTACACGCTATTACCGCGCACACGTGCGCCCCGACAGCGGGTATTTATTGTGGTCAACGTGAATTAGCATCGCCTCCTAGTAGTGTGTAAATCGCGCGGCGAGAATGCCGCGTACAAAAAACGACATCGAGCCATGTGTTAAATCGCGCAAAAAGCCGCCAGACCTCGCGGCTGATCGCGCTCGCGCGCGCGCTTCAAACGACGTCGCGACTTATTAACGTGCCGTCGGTTGTTCCGCTAATTATGCAAGATCGATCAAGGATTGAGATTCGCTTTGCTCAAGCCGAATACAGACCGCGACGAAGTGCGGTCGATCGGTTCTCGAGCGAGGCTTCGTTTCACGCCTCGTTATGAAATAATACGCGAACGAGACAATACGTCGACAGGCATCTTCGCGTCCTGTGCGGGAAAAAAGAAGAAAGAAAGCAACTGGTCGGCTCCGTCGGCTAACGACGGGCAGGATATCTCGTGCTTTTGCGTATGAAAGGTAAACAGGTGCAAAACGTCGCCGGTGAGTGCGTAAAATCCTGTTCCGTGCATCGCGTAATAACGTTGTAATATCGAAGAACGCTGCCTAGAGAGATTGCCCGTGCTCGTGCGGGCGCGCAAAAAAGAAGCCGCGATCACACTTTGATCATCTCTTTCCTCTCCCTCTCTCCCTCCCTCTCTCTCTCTCTCTCTCTCGTGACAGGAGTAAATGCGGCATAATAAATGAAAAGCGCCGACGGGCGTATTTAGCCGCTATTTTAAAATACGAGCCCTTCTCGCGCATACGCGAGGAATCTCTCTCTCTCTCTCTCTCTCTCTCTGTGTCGAGTGAGAGATGATTCTTCAAGAGGCGAGAGCGAGAAGCGTCCTTCTTGTCGCATTACATAATTAATCCGCGCGTTCCGTAGCCACGTAACGAGAAGAATATGACTTCTGCATTCACACCCCCGTATCTAATGAATGCTCGAGCGGCGGTGAATCATCTAGTTCATCGTGCGGACGAGAAAGTGCATTAGTAATTCCGATCCCGCGCGCGCTTCGGTCTTTTTAACACGCTCGCCACCGACGAACACACACCTCCGTGGTCGTGTGGAACATCGTCGAGCGAATCGTGAACTCTCGCTGGAGAGGAAACTCGAAACGTGACGCAAAAATCAAGGCGATACGGGGAGAATGTAAAAACGAACAAAAGCATGGGGACCAAATCCGTGGAGAGTCGCGAGGCGAAGTTCTAATCTCCAAGAACGCCCGCACTCGGAATGCTTGCGTAGACTTGCTGAAACTCCAACTGAATGAATATTCCGAAAGCATTGTGGCAGATATCCTTGTCAAGTTTAAAGCAAAAATCGCCGAGTTCTATCTTTACAAGTCGGAATCCCCTCTCCCGCGGAGGGAGGACAGTCAGTTTGCGGATTTTATTTTCGTACACTTTTGCGCCCGCCGGATAAAATTTATAGGCTCGCCATCTCCGACGATCTTGAACGTCGCCTCCTCCTAATCGACTAGTCGTAAAGCACGAGATATCACGGCGTTCGGCGCGGAATCGGACACAAGGCAACTGCGTCGTGAGATTCTTTTCGGGATAACGCGCGGCTCTCGCTTGCATCCTCACGCTTCCGACATCGCTATTTCTCAGCGTCGTAGCCGCGGGCACGGAACAATCGGACTCGCATAAGCGGATCTATGCGCGCCTCTAACAACAGCGCGCCAGTCGTTTGTTTCGCGTCGCCTCATCGCGCACTACGAAGCATCTGCGTTAAACCAATCAACAAACGAACCAAGCGATCGAGCGAGTGAACGAGCGAGCAACCGAACAAACAACAAACAAACAAATAAATAAATAAATAAATAAACAACCAACCAACCGACCACACCGACGATTGATCGACCATCACACGTCACACAGTCGTGATATCATCAATAACATCGTCGCGACGCGGCGCGGCGCGACACGAACGATAATGCACTTCGCGAGCACTTATCGTCGCAAGTTCCACGCAATGTCGCGAGATAAACACTGCCTAGCGAAATTATCGAACAAGAATCGACCATGCGCGTCACTTGTACAGCAGCCGTGGTACAAAGAGAAGTCCTCCAGCGATCAAGTCCCACGGGGAAGGCCGAATTTCACGCGAGAGGCACGCCGCGCGCGTCCGGAGAGAACGTCGCGCGTTCCCGCCGCGACGAGAGAGAAACTATCGGGGATCACTGTCGCATGCTCCGAGTTCCGAGTGACTTCTCTTCCGAGGGAGAATCGAAATGATACGAGAGCCTCTCTCGCGGGTGCGCGCACCATGGAGACAGAGAGACGGGGGAGAACAAAAGAGCCACGATCGCACGCCGCGTGCATCGGTGCGCGATGCATCGGCCACTTACGACGAGCACGCGAGCACACGTCTCTAACGTTGCTAAACACCGACTCGTTTACTCTCTCGGCGGCGGACTACTCCCGGGAGTAAGCGCTTATGCGCGCAGAACGCGAGTAAAGCAGCCGACGAAGGAGGGGGTCCCACGCGAACCTTCCCCTATCGACGGTGTCCCGCCGCTTGGAAGGGGCCAAAAGCCGCAGGAACAACACGGGGGGACGCGCGTAGCTGCTGCTGCTGCTGCTGCTGCACGCTCGCCGATTCCGGAAAATCAATGTCGCCGATGTTCTGTCGCGAACTGTGTCACCGAGGACAATGGTACGCTCGCGAAAACGCTGCCTCGCCGAGGTCGGCCTGTCCGTGCGACTTTGTCCGCCTAGACCTTATCTGCGAGCTTAACGCCATTTTTTCCCGAAACGGAACTTTCTGTCGAGACTCACACACACACACACACACAGATCTCTCGGTCATTAATCAGGATTTATTTCGGTCAATAAAAGTCACGCACACGGAGGGAACGTTGAGTAATTTTCTTTTCAGTATTTCGCTCGGTCCTGCGACTATTTTTCGCGTTG